CACTAAATCAGGCTGATCCTATGAGTGGTACTTGGAGGAAAATATGTTGAATATCTCTGATAGAAAATGAACTCTCTACTCTTCCTACTCTCTGTTTTTACACGTACACATGTATCGATAAACACAGTTGTACTATACACAAGTTATTTCATGTAATAATAAATTCATTGATCCCCTTAGAACTTCTAAAGAAATTGTGTTACCATTCTACTTGATTGATTGGTGATATATATATGGGGGCGATTCTTCATCTCATTGCTTCCGACCATCAATTATTGAATTACCTGTTATTATGTCATTGCTAAAGTGAAGTAGTTACCACCCATTAGATTGAGAGTACAATATGGCATTATATATCATGGCATATGGAATGGAAATGAAGTAAACCTTTATTAAGAAATACCCATAATTTAATCGTTGCACTAATCCCCATGTTAGCTTGCATAACAACACTCATTTCTGGGCTTCAATCTGTTTAAATATCTTAAAATCACTAGAGATTTCATAAGGTTTGAAGCTATACACAAACAATTTAGTCATCTGAGTAGTTGTACAGCACTCACACGAACCAGTAGTGCTGGGGGCTTTTAGCCAGATGGAAACATTGGACGGTGGGTTTGCGCCCGTTAATCAGCAGATTCAACTCCACAAAAGGAACAGCTGGCCGAAAATTCAAACATGCATACATGTTGAAGGAAGCTTCTCATGACTGATTATGCTTCTAATTTTTGCTTGAACTACAAATCTTATACTTCTTATCAAGGAAACATAAACACAGGATACGAGTGTAGGGCTTCATTGTATGTAATTTTTGCAAAAGTTCTGTTTCATAAGGTCATTGGATTTCCACCTAATCACACTGCTTGTTAACTTGTTGTCAATGTTATCTGATGAAGACACCACCAATTCTAACTGGTGACCATTCGTGAAACAATCTCGGAGAAAAATGGCACCATAAATAGCTCCCAGAATAGACGAATGGAACGCTGGAAAGAGTACTATGAGGTGCAGTTTAATTGGCCCACAGCCACGCTCAACCTGCAGAACATCCAACACCTCCCTGAATCGGCTATACATACAGATCCTCCATCCCTAACTGAGGTTTCTAAAGCTGTCACTAATCTGAAACTAGGCAAAGCAGCGAGACCTGATGGAATGACTCCAGAGGTATTTAAGTACTGTGGAGACAGTTTACTGTCTGCATTAACTGAGGTTCTAGGCAGCGTCTGGGAATTAGAAGAAGTCCCATCGGGTTGGTGTAAGTCACTGATTATCCCCATACACAAGAAGGGAGATAAGTCTTCCTGTGATAACTACAGAGGGATTAGATGGACTAATAAAGTATCTAAAGTCCTAAGCTCAATAATAATGCGTAGACTAAGTGGTGCTCGGGAGGCACAAACACGAGAGAGCCACGCAGGCTTTAGACCAGGAAGAGGGTGTATTGATCATATCTTCACCCTCCGACAGTCCTAGAACATAGGAATTCCTACCAGCGTCCAACAGTAATTATATTTCTTGACCTTAAGGCGGAATTCCATTCTGTCGACCGAGAGGTTCTCTGGAGATGCTTGGCTGTAAAGGGAATTCCAAGAAAATATATTGCACTGGTTAAGGCACTCTACTCGTACTCATACAGCCAGGTGAGGGCTTACGTCGAGCTGTCATCTGAACTGGTGACGACTAGTGGTGTCCGTTAAGGATGCCCATTATCTCCTTTTCTATTCAACTTCATCATAGATGTGTTAATGGACTTAACCCTAAGTGACTTCAGCGACTCAGGGATTGACTTGCTACCAGGGAATAATCTCGTTGACTTGGAATATGCAGACGATATAGTCCTTCTAGGCAAAGACGCTGACGACATTCAGAGTCTTCTAAACACCTTGAGCCGCAGTCTACGAATGTTTGGCATGCGATTCGCTCCCGCCAAATTCAAGATGATGTTACAGGAGTGGACTACACCGACTCCTAGATTAGAAATAGGAAGTGAAGTGGTAGAGCACGTTGACCGCTTCACTTATTTGGGAAGTACCATCAGCCACAACTGGTTGATCTCTGACGAAATCTCAGCACGAATACAGGGGGCTAGTTTCGCATATGCCAGTATACGCCGTCTCTGGCGTAGACGAGATGTTCGACTATCGACCAAAGGGCGGGTGTACTGCTCATCAGTCCCCTCCGTCCTCCTTTATGGCTGTGAGTGAGACCTGGCCATTGAGAGTGGAAGACATGAAAAGATTAGCTGTCTTTGATCATAGGTGGTCAAACCAAAACATGGCCTTATCAGTCAATTAAATCTACAACAATTAGTCTAAGCCACGTAGGAAGGTGTAGATAGGCTTCCTGGCTGGGGTCCTCAGGACGGTAAAAACCAATGACTGGAGACAATTGGTGAAATGGCTCAAAATCGTTCTCAATGACAGCGCAGATGCATCCACTCCTTGTAACTTATGATTTCTAATGAAACTGTTTTGTTCTTCGTTATTACTCTTCCTTTGTCTCACACCTCTGTTTACTGTCTCTATTATGCATTTCTTCTACTTTCTTCCCTTGCTTTGTGTGGTACAAAGAGAAAGTGTGGCGACTTGAACTAGTGCTCATCGGTGCAAAGTTCTGTGTCAAAAACAGACAGAGACCATTCGTGATGAAATTTTAAAAAAAAGAAACAAGAAAAGATTTTCACTTCCGACTATATTTTTCAGTCAAAAGTTTAAAAAAAAAGCTGATTTTGTACAGATGATTCAAAGAAAGTAAACATAAAGCATAACTTATAGTACAAATACATGGTGTTCTATACATTTAGTTACATTGTTGTTGACACTGAAAGAGAAAGTTGGACCATGGGTAAGCATTTGTTTTGTCATCGCCCGTGTCGTTCTCTTCGTTCTTGGTTCACTCGTGGATCCAAACTGAACGGAAGTAATGGACTAAAATCAAATAGAATAACAATAACAACTACGGCTGAAACAAGAATGTCATAAATAATATACAATAATGTGAATACTTGTAGGACAAATTCTTTTGAAATACACGGTATTACATCTTAAGGCTTTATAACCAAGTGGCCACGTGCTAAAGGTCTGGGTGAGTGTAAAGGATAAACTAAGTGATTAACATCAATCAAAGAACAAATGCTATTCAAAAAAAGGCTAAACGCGCGCGCGAGAGAAAGAGACAGAACACTGAATCTAGCGACATTAATAACCTAATGGCTACCCGACACGTTTTGTCGAAAAGAACATGAAACCTAAACCTAAAAGAGAAGAATGCGATTCAGCGCCAAAGAAAACACTGCATCTAAATCTGAATTTCAAGGGAGATTTGGCAGCTGATATCCTGAAGAGGAGAATATCCAGCTCTCTAAAGAAGACCTTCCCTGCAGCAACACTAAGAGTGACATTCTCTAGCCGCCCAATACTTCGAAACAACACGAAGGACAAACTTTCGCATATGACCAATTCAATGTGCATATACCAGTTCACTTGCTCGTGCGGAGCTAGGTACATAGGTCGTTGTATGCGCGTCCTCTCAAAACGTGTTAGAGAACACTACCCAGCGTGGCTGCAAAGAGGAGGCACCGGTTCAATCAGAAGTGCCATTATTGAACATCTGGTCAACACCTCCCACAAAATCTCAACCGATTCTTTCAAAGTGATTTACAAAGTCAATAGAAACCTACCAAAAGCAATATGTTTCCGACTTCTTTGTACTGCAGAAGCCCTCGCAATATGCATCGAGAAGCCGGAGCTGTGTGTTCAAAAGAAGTTAGTCCAACCTCTACAACTACCATGGACCTAGCTTGGTATGTTCCCTTTGTTTCCGTCTTTTTTCTCTTCCTCGTCCCTCAATCTTCGTTTAATCCATCTAATTTTTTTTTCAGCTATAAAAACAGTTATTTTAAGTTTGTTTCCATGCTTTCCCTGTTCACATTTATAAATCGTTTGAAATAACTATTTTACAATTATATCTTAATATTGTGCAATTTTTGTGTTTCTAAGGCTTTTGTAATCTATATTCACACGTCCTAACTTTCATTTCAGGCTCAAATTATTTTTTCAGTTAAAAAAAACTAGTTATTTTAATTTTGTTTCCATACTCCTCCTGATCACACTTGTAATCCGTTTAGAATAACCATTCTACAATTATATTCTAATCCTGTGTAATTTTTGTTTCTATGCCTCTTGTAATCTATATTCATACCTCCTAACTAACATGTCAAGTTGAAAAATTTGATTTCAATTTGTTTCCATGCTCATTTTGTTCACACCTGTAGTTCGTCCTATCCCTGCGTTTCTAAACCTCTTGTAATTCATATCAAGTCGAAAATAATTATCACCTTCGATTCGCCTTTAAAATTATTTCTCCAGTTATCAAATATTAATTTTTTGCATATGTTGTAACTATTTTCTAATCCTATGAAATCTTTTCTCTAAGCCTCTTGTAATCTATATTCGTACCTTCAAACTATCAAGTTGAAAATTATTATCACCTTCGTTACTATGTGAAATTAAACAAATAATAATTCTATCCATGTTAAAATAATCTATATAAATGCGATTGTACAGCTTTTGAGAATGAAATCGCCGAAAAGATACCTTTGCTGAACTTCGTGTTCTCTTCTTTCTAATGTCCATATGGGTATTTTCCAAGAAATAACCTAATCGGTTGAAGTATTCCTAGCCAGATGACGAGTCCCAAATAGGACGAAATGCGCCTTATCCTGGATTCCATTGCTAGTCACTATCCACCAATTAAATACTACTTAAATGCCCAGACATCGTCAAAGCATCTGCACAAGAAGCCGACATGTCAACCTGAAACCGAGCACTTCGGTCAAATCAATCGACGGGAAAATCTCAAATTCAATGAAATTAATATGACCCGTTGCACAATAGGTGGCTCTCGTGGCCCAAGTGGTCTAGTGGATAACGCTTTGGCGTTTGGAACTTTGGACACTGGTTTCGAGACTCGGAGGGAACAGTATCACTCACTGAGAAATGCAAGTACATCCAGATGACGAGCCCCAAATAGGACGAAATGCACACCCTGATGGATTCCACTGCTAGTCACCATCCACCAATTAAATTCCTAGCCAAGCTCTTATTTCCAATGCAATATTCGGAAAAAAGCCTCATCACTTATGTGATAGCAAAATCCGAAAATCTGGGGTATTCAGAAGTTAGACATCTTGCTAGGCCTCGGGGTGGGTACACATTAAGGGTAGGAGGGGGGCGAAGGGAACTCAATGACGGACTTATTGAAGATAAGGACAGTAGTTGGGCCACTGAACAGCAACACCACATAATAAGCGGTTAAACAGCTTATCTCATAACTTATCGAACCGGCTGAAAACAGGAAGTCATTTATTGATGGAAATATGCTCAACAGTGAAATGAATCCGATATATGACAACACTATTAACTGAAATGACTGAAACCGACATCTTCTAGAAAATATTCTGAAAACAACAAAATAACAAATAAGTAATCATGAAAAATGTATACACAAACCAAACGACGATAGTCAACAAAAAAATCGAAAAGAATAATGAAAAGTAGTTGAGTAAGTTCGATGTATCTAACAATCCCATTAACGGCAAAAAGAGGAAACAGAACTTACAGTGGTCTAGTACCAACCGGCCAATTCGATAGCAGCGCTGTGGGATGCAACTGATTAACAGTTGGCATTTTCATACCAAATGGCATATTTGAAATACTGGACACATTTGAAGCACTATGACCAGGAAATGATCCACGGACAGGATTGTATCGGCCTCCACGACCTAAACAGAAAAAGTCCCTTGTTATTTGTGAAAACTTTTCTTAACATTTCAAGTTAGAGCAAAATAATGTGTACACATCATTAATTTTTCCCACAAAAAGACGACACGATATTCATAGTATGTCTATTATTAAAGAGGTTGCATCATACGATAGGCCGACAAAAGACTCTAAAAGATCCGGACCTAGCGAATAATTGATGTCCCATGTCACACAAACTCAAAAATTCTGCAGGCGTACACGAACAGTTTGGCAAAACAGGGAGTCAAGACAGGATTTCAAATGAACATATATAAGACAATGCTGATGAGGATACTAGATGACTAACAGCAACAAGCACTAATCACAACCAACGAGAGAAGTGTAAGGGAAGTCGCACATTTATTCCCTTTTGTGAATTTAAACAAAGCAAAAAACGAGTGTTTACGCAGAATGTGATATGAGGTCGTCATTTTTATTTAATCGTCAGCTACTCTTCATCTGTGTACAACCTAAAAATTGATTGTGAAAATGTACATAGAATTCTGTCACACTAGCAAGGCTCATTATGATTTTGACCTAATGTTTAATATCATCGTCTCAACTCACTACATAATTTTTTGCTTCCACACACACACCCTGCACTTCTTGTATTTCCGTGTAATTTAGTTCATTTTAGTTACTACTGTAACAATCGAAGACAAGACACGAGAGCCAAGGTGTCTTTTCCATTAATAAAACAGCTCTTTATATAAATATAAAATTTATATTCGTTAACCAATCACTGAGCGATTGATTTTGGTTTACATTAAACGACATGAAATAGAATGTTCAAATATACACATTAGTCTGTTACTAACGCAGCAGTGAACTATGGGAATATGTGAGAATAATAGTCCGTTGGAACACATTGTCTCTATCACACCACCACCACCATACTATGACTTCGGTTAAATTCATCATCAACTGTTCTCCTATTGTCTTGACTGTGCAACTCAATTTTCGATGTATCTGACTATTAATTTTGCATATTTGTGTTTTGTTTAAACTTTGACCTCCTTCATGAATTATATAAGTGGAACACGTTTTATATTAATAACATGTGTCTCTGTGTTAACAAAATTATGTTGAGCCTTGCGATTATGACAAGATATTAGGTTGTAAGCAGCTGAACAGAATCTGACAACGAAATATGCCAGTTTACGCCGCCTCCGGCGTAGACATGATATCCAGCTGACTATAGACCACACAGTGTGTATACTGCTCAGCAGTCCGCTCCGTCCTCCTTTCTGGCTGTGAGACCTGTCCACTGAGAGTGGAAGACATGAAAAGCCCGGCTAGCCAACTGTCCTTCTACCTGTGTTCTATCTCCCGTGTGAAGTGGTATAATAAGGTGAGCAATATTCAAGTTAGGCGTCGAGTGCTAGGTAAGAAAGGAGGGAAAATCGATCGAAGAGGTGAAGTTACACCGATTGAGATGGTTAGGACATGTGTTACACATAACTAGCTATCGATCGCCTTCCTCAACGGGAAATGTTAGTTGACATAGGGTTAGACTGGAAAAGAGCTAGTGGCGGTCAAACCAAAACATAGCACCAGACAATTCAATCCACAACAGTTAGTTAAAGCCAGTCACGTAGGAAGGTGTAGACTTCCAAAATGGCTGGGTTCTCGGGACGGTTAAAACCAATGACTGGAGACAATTGGTGAAATGGCTCAAAATCGTTCTCAATGGCTAGCGCAGATGCATCCACGCTCTGTGACTTATGATTTCCAATGAACCTACATTGTTCTTCGTTATTACTATTCCTTTGTATCACACCTCTGTTTACTGTCTCTATTATGCATTTCTTCTACTTTCTTCCCTTGCTTTGTGTGCTACAAGGAGGGATTGTGGCGACTTGAACTGCCACACATCAGTGCAAAGTTTTACGTCAAAAACAGACAGACAGGCAAACAAACAAATAAATGATGACCTCATCATATTATTCTGCACAATCACATTTGATTTAGCTTTGTCTAAAATCTTCCGCACACCTAGATAGCATCACTTCAACTACAAGTACAGCTGCACAAAGTATGACGATAATCAAAGGTAGAAATTAGAAAAGTCATCCAGCCGACCAACTTCATTACTCCAAAATGAATATGGAAACCTACTAACTGCACTGAGGATAAAGCAGAAGAATTAGATTTTTATTACTGCTGATATTTAATGAGATCAAGAGGGTTGGTGTGTGTATGCATCACAAAAAAGCATTTTCAATAGGCCTCCGCAGACTTCCATCAACAGCTACCTTTGCCGTGTACTGAAGATCAGATAGCTGATGAGAAAGGATTAGCAACAAAAAAACAACCAATCAATAGGCAGAAGGAAATGAAGATGGATTGGAGGCGTGCTGAGGAGGGGGGCGGGGGGCGTTGAATGACGTCAAGTAACCAAACAGGTTTCCAAGGGCAACACGAAGGAGATCATGAGAGTGGGAAATTAAAGCTTATAGGCCAGTCGTAGAGCGAACTAAAAACATTTACGTATAAAAGACTAGAAATGATAGACATAACAGTGTTACTGATCCTATGAAACTTTTTCCAAATTAGCACAAAGATTAACAATCAAGATGTCAAAAATGCACACACCAGGCATTCTTCTTTCCAGCATAGTTTTAAAGCTTGGAACAAATGAGTTATTTGATTACGTGGACTGCAGTCTGTATGAAAGTATGGTCACTTAGGCTAAGAAATAGACAGCAAAAGATTAGTATCCTTACCTCTCATTATTCTCGTGTCACGATAGGTTCTAGAACGCGTGGTATCCTGCTGCAAACAACAAGACAAAGCAATTACAACCAATATGAAGGGAAAGATATGAGAATTTCAATAATATATAAACAAAAATCACCAAAGTCAGTGATTCTATGTTTAAAAGATTTCGATGAATAAATATTTTCTTACCTACAGCCAATCTAGTGAGAACCAAACAAGAGAAAATAAGATGCAGTTCTCGTCTAGTGGATAAGGCTTTGACGTTTCAAATAATGGGTACTGGGTTTGAGTTTCAGCGAGAACAGCACCCGTACCATTCACTAGTTGTCGTATTTACACCCAGCTGACGAGTCAAGAATAGGAAGACGTGTGTTTCCTGAATTCTAGTGCTAGTGTCACCACCCATTAATTCTTATTGCCTTATGCAGAACTAGTGGTCCGGATTAGTAATTTTCAAAATTTACACATCATTTCCAACCAGACTTGAGAGAATCAAGTGAACAAGACGGGACAACGTACTTCAGTTCATGATGAACTCTACCATGAGAATTTAGCTTCATTACGGTTTGGATTGAGACTGAATCATATCTAATCATTTCGTATGATTATTTGTTTCTATAACCTTTTACTTTCCAAGTTATCTATAGGGCGAGAAACAACCTCCCAAAAGCATTACGCATCCGACTCATCTGTACTACTGAAACGGAAAATCTAAAGCTCTATATACAAAATAAGGTTTATTCAACCAATCCTTCCTTCACAATTCTAATCCATCAGAGGTCAAAGTCATTATTAAGTATATCAACAAGAACAATTTTAACATACTTGAACAGACAGTTGAGGTTTAGACAAAAATAAATCAATCAACATAGGCATACAATAATAATAGACATAATAATAATAATACTAAACAATTTATCCTGAACAATAATGATCATACACAATGGAGACTTTCGGCACTACATAATCCGACAGAAGAGAGTGTGGAAATATCCAGTTACCAGGCAGGACAAGAAGAGACTGATAACCGCTTCTCTCTGAATGCATGATTCTGGGTTTCAGGTGTTTGATGGAGATTGCTTCGGCAAACTTAAGAAGAGAATTCAACTCTTTTTCCTATTTATAATTTTGAACGATCTTGCGACGTCCACCTCATGACCCGTGTCAAGGAGATGCCTGGCGATGGCACTGCTTGAGGCATTTGTTCCCTTTATTAAGTATAGGCTTTTTAGTACACGTTCAGAAAATCGGAGGTATGCCTTTCCTTCTGTTCTTCCAAGGTAACTGCTCTCGTAAATACACGTAAATTTGTGTATACACAGTTGGAGTCACTAGGCAGAGCCTACCCTGCAGACAATCTGGCTCCCGTCTATCGAACAACTTGCCCTTTTGGTACAGTCAAAAGTCGACAGATATCCTTCTCATGATGATATGACTCAAAATCTTCGTTCTCAATGACTGGCGCAGATGTATCCACTCCTTGTGACTTACAATATCCAATAAAACTATGTTATTCTTCCATATTACTATTCTTTTTGCCTCATATCTCTGTTTTGAATCTCTTTTTACTTTCTTCTCATGATGTGTGTCCTAATTGAAGTGTAGTGACTCCAACTGTTGCACAGGTGTGCAAAGTTCTAGGTTGAAACCAGTCAATCACAATCCCTCACTGCTATCCTCACAAACGACGATTTCTTATTCTACTTAAGTTCACCAAACAAATAAGATTAGCCAATTCACAATATTCGCATCTCAGTCCTATAAACTTATTTCGACTTAGCTTAATGAAAATCCCGTGCGTCGGTGGCACAGCGGTTAGGAATCTCGCCAATCATGTACATGATCCGAGGTTCGATCCCCTGCCGACGCACACCTGATACCTATGGTCGGCCTGCAAAATTTGGGCTACCGATATCACATGCTTAAATTTTCATGCCTGTACCAAAAATACGGTGTGGAATCAAGCTGTAGTCAAAAATCAAAAAATAAATAAAATAAAATAAAAAAAATTCATTTCAAAATAATCATTCATACTTCGATAATGCCTTCTTCTTTTTCTAATTTAGTAAAATCATCAACATGTAAACTTGGAGGACGACTTGTATTCAACGGTCTCGAACGGAATGGATCAGCACGAACACCTGGAATATTTGTATTCACTTGTCCAGGATTAGTGCCAAGGACAGCAGGAATTGTATTATTAGCGATAGGATTAGATGGCGCTGTACTACGTAGCATAAAACCTCGACCACGCATAGGTGCGACTGAAAAATAGGGAAAATAGTATGGTTAGAAAAAACTCACAGATATTATATAAGTGTAACAGAGAGAGAATAAAGACATCATGTAGGAAATGCCATCCAACTAATTAACCTACCTCGGTGGGCAGTTATCAAATTCAGTCAAGAGAAACATCTATCACGACTCAAAATAAATCATATAACCACAGTACTCCAGAATTAGAATACCTGTAGACAATAAATTACAATCCAAAAGGAAATATTTAATCGTCTTACTTTACCACCATTAGACTTATGTTTTAAGTAGTATTATTAGACGACAATGTTTATGTGAAAAATATGTGACGTATTTGCGCAATACACTTCCAACAATTTGATCACACACACACGCAGACATCTACGTAGTTGTCAATTTCAATTTATATGAAAAACCAGAAGGCCAATTAAAATAAATAAAGCGGTAAAGGCTTTAAAAATATGACGGATAATACTCTTGGTAATATAACCAGATAAAGTTTGCTAAGGTAGATTAAGGGTCGTAGTCGATTGTTTTTGTACACAGAGGAGGTGGAAGAGGGGCTTGGATTTATATAAAGCTATCATCTCAGTGTATTTTGATATGAGCCCCCTGATGGAAATGTATTGCATAAATACATCATACATTTTTCAGATAATCTCCGTCTTCTATTATAACTTTATCTAAATTTACAGAGGAAACATCGAAAGCGCCAGAGAATTCCTAGAAGCCTGGTGCTCAAACGAATATGCGATTAACAAACATGTTAATATATAGACCAACTCTACTAACTATTAATCATGTTGATCATGTGATGAGAAAGTTAAAAATCCAAGTCAATAAAAAAATGATGAATACAGGTGAAAGTCGACTACTAGTCAGTCACGAAGTTGGTTGCCAGGAGACGCAATTCTATCATTCATGGAGCATTTAAATCAGTTCATTTTATGCTAAAACTTGCACTGAATATGTTGTCCAGATGGATGACAAAAGCTCTACAATTTAACCAACCAGCTCAGAGAACACAACTAATTACAAATGTTCACATATTGTTAGAAATAAAGAATTAATATTATTATTAATATAATTATTATTATTGAAACAGTACCACTAAAGAAGCAAATACGGACTTATCAAAGATAACAAATTCCTGATTAATTACTCACCAAATTTCTTTGAACTTATTCCAGTTTGTATAATTGTTGATTGACCACGTCTACGTTTCTGATGTCGGATGGCTACTTCACTTGAATCTTGTTGACGTCCACACTTGGCTAGTTCCTCTCGTATTCGTAATCCATTACACCCATTAGTTGCAATATCACTTAAATCACATTGTACTAAGTTATTTTGATATGAAATGGATACAGGAATCTAATGAATGAAAATGTAAAGTATACAGAAAAACAACATTGTTTTATAAATTTATAAGCGTCGTTCAAAAGTGATATATAGAAGAGATCGTGTGAGAAGGAAATGAAAGCCTATAGGCTACTCAGAAAGAGTGCAAAGAATAGGCTGAAATGGCGATGTGCGGTTGAAGCCCTATGCTCCATTCAAAACCAGAAGGAGTGATACTAATAATATGCAAAAACTGGTATGCAGCTTGGCAACTACGTGATTCAGGTTTTCATCATTAACTGACAGCGGTTACAGGACCATTAGAAAACCTGCATGGAGTGCTGAACAGCTGTCTCATCAGTTTAGTTCGGGACTCTTCATCAGTATGCACCGAGAAAGATTGCATAGTCCGTTGACCATTGCTCGTAGACCACTAAGCCAACTTCTACCAATCCACGACATAGCGCGAACACTAGCCAGTGTCATTGGCGAGTAAATGTCCTCACGCTCGACCGGCTGTAACCCACTGGTCACGACTCCCCACTAGAACCTACCTGAATAGGGCGAGTTACTAGTGAGCATCAGGCTGATATTGAAGAGTTGATTGGCAAGGATTTGATGGGTTTCAAGATTTCATCATGAACTGACATCGGTTAGACAACCATTGGGAAACTTGGGAACTGATGGCTGATACTCGTAAACCTTTTGGTGCAAAGAAGTTTGAGAAACCAGTATACCGTTAGTTTGAATCATGCTACGACTCAGTAATACAATTCACACCATTTATTTATTATAATTTTATTCCTTTAGGTTCTCAGTGGGACAAAGGGCTACAAGCTAGAGCTTCGAAATTTCGGTAGCGGTGGTTTTATTTTTACGCGGTGGGGTTGCTAGCCTCACACCCTACCTTCTCTTTTTATCGGCCTTAATACCGGCTTGTCAAGACTTATGAGTGTATCGACTGAGGAGCTAGCCCTAGACAATGTTCACGGCTGATAAGCGTCCTACTGCTGAACCACCGACGCACATTGTTCACACAGAAGTTTGTATTTTAAGTGACTTATCTTCGAAGTGTTTATACAAAGATAATTGTCCCATGCTTTTCACACATAGAAAATGTTTTTCGTATGGATGAAAATCGGATAAATACTACGCCGAATCAGCATGGCATACAAAAGTACCCTATTATCAGGTTACCATCAACCACCAATAGTACCTGTTGTAAATACCAACCAAAATTATTATCCAATACTGTATTTGAAAATGACTGTCTGAGCGGATAGATAATCACCAACCACTTAAATGCAAATACAACGAGAATGGATAACAGAAAAATAAAAGACGAGAGGCAACGAAAAGACACTTTCTAACAATAAGATCAACTAAACCTGTACAATAGCGATTATATACGATTTGTTTGATGAATGTGTCCGATAAAGTCAATAGTCATTACAAGGACTAATATTGGGAACTCTGCAAAAACACTAGAAACTTCTACACAGTTCTGAGTCATATCGCGAACAGAATCAAGCCATTTGGTTGATAATATTCCGAAGACCAAAAAGTGGCAGACTACACCCTGAAATCATCTGTCAATAACTTTATGGACTGATTTCCAGTTGTCATTCGACTACCCCTAACACCTTTCCTACCTACTCCTACGTCAGCTAACATTACATATCGAAGTTAGAGAACCATTGGAAAACCTGGGAGTACTGGACAGCTGTTTCGTCCTAGTTCGGGGCTTTTCATGAGTACGCACCCACCGAGGTTCGACCTCATCGAAGAAGACATTGTGAAGTGATCGCGCTATTTAATGATTTGGCAAAAGTTAGAATTTATGGGCTGATCATTGGACTGGGTCCCAGTGGCTTAATGGTCTACGAGCTCGCTAGCCTTGTAACCAGAAAGTCCTGGTTTCCGATCCCGTTGACCAAGTACTGATGAAGAGTTGTACACTAAAGATGAAACAGCTGCCCAGTACTCCCAAGTTTTCCAATGGTTCTCTAATTGATGTGAGCTCATGATGGCATCCTCCAACCAATTAAACAAAATCCCTACAAAGCCAATACTTGAAATGTGTTTTGAACAGAACACTACAAAATGTAGTTCAATATATGTGAAATCAGGCGGCGGTGTTCAATGGTAGAATGCTCACCAGTTATCCATCAACGATGTCCAAAATCGGTTACCAGCCGATGCACTTTGCTTGGTTCACTAGCATTGATAGAGAAGCTCCGTAAAGAGCAATAGTTAGGCTTAAGGCTAGCAACCCTACTACCACGTCAAAAAAAAAAAAAAAAAACAATATCACAGCTACTGTTTGTTGTACTCGAAATGTAATGGAATCTTTACTCACCTGACTACCAATGAATTTTGAACCACTTGAAGGTAATTCCATGTCTATATCTTCTGAATTTTTTTCATTTACAGCTGAAAGATTTTTGTAATAATGTTTCGATTGATATTTAGATGCCTTTTCTAAATTGTCATCTAAGGATAGTTTAATAAACTTCTGGTAATCACGCACTAACACATCCAATGATCGAGGATTTGGTAATTTTGACCTGATTCTGTAAGAATCTAATTGATCTGACAAGTATTCATTATTGGCACTGTTAGTGGTATTAATAGTTGTAGCAGTAGCAGCAGAGGCAGCAGTAGTAGTAGTAGCTGTCAACCCCTTCAATTCAGGAATTTCATAATCATTTGATAATAATGACAAGAGATTTTTCATACCACTTCTTAAATACTCAAGTGATGGTTCATCATCAGCTAACATCTGAAAATAAAGTGTGAAGAGAGAAATGAACATTCGTTTATGGGAGAACTTGATTTACACAAATCAATGTAAGTTATATTAATAGTTTTCACTTAAAAAAAAATAATCCAAAAGTGAATTTATTTGAGATACAACACACAATGGCAGAATGTTGGACAACTACCCAAGTGACCCAGGTTCAACTGCCTCCAACCCCCCCCCCACACACACACACACACAGTCATCAACGCACTCCTAAATATCGCCTAGCAAGTGTAGATGGTTCCGTCTGTCTCTGTCTGTCTGGATTCAACATACAACTTCGCACCGAAGTGCTGCACTTCCAGTTGCCACGTTCCAAATAGCACACAGAGGTAGACAAGAAGATGAGTGAAGAGAATCAATAGAGTTTGACAAGTATAGGAGTGAAACACAATGGGTAGTAGTAGAAAGGAATATAAAAGGTTACAGAGAATGAATACATCTGAGCCATTGACAACGATTTTGAGCCATGTCACCTATTGTCTCCAGTCATTGATTCCTAGAGTCCCGAGGGCCCCAACCCGGGAGTCTGCATCTCCCTACCTGACCGACTCAGTTTAACTGTCAAGGATTTCATGGATTGATTAGACCATGTTTTTGTTTGGCCACCACTTACTCTTTTCCAACCTACACCTATATCAGCTAGCAATGCCCGTCGGGGGAGGCGGTGGTTAGGCATGCGCAGCACGTGGCCTAGCCATCTCAATCTATGTAACTTTATAGCCTCGTCGATTGATTTTCCCTCTTTGCCCAACACTCTACGCCTAACATCAACATTACTTACCTCATTAAACCACCTAACGTGAGACAGAGATCGCAGACGTGGTTGCGTGTAAAGAAAGAAGATTGCCCAGCAACTATACACCATAAAAATTATCATGGCTAATAAAACCTCACCTTCTTCTTCTTCTTTAGTTCGGCTATCTCCTACGGGAGGATGAACCGGCTTCATGAACATCTCGAATGTTTGTAAGAGAGTTGATGAAGTTTCATGGGAATTGGGTACGAGTGATGTCCCCAGCATCGCTCGGCCTTTTGTTTGAGAGTGCAGCTCTAGCCTTTACACAGCCAAGTGTGACCTACAAGGCAGTAGGAGTGGAGTAGGGAGTCCACTATCCATTGGCAGCCGGTGACCGGTTCATACGCCTTTTTGAATGGGGCCAAACATCCAGGGCATCCAATAAGCTCTTTGTCCATACGTCTGCCGGTGAACTTCATACGCCAGTCGTTGGAGGTTTGGAATCAGGGTTTAGCCATCTCCCCTAGACTGTCATCCAATGGACAGTCAACCCGGTGAAGAGCGCCGGGCATCCGCTTTTGCCCTCTCACTTCGGTGAAAAACACCTCCGCCACGTGAAGGCAGTGAGTAGGACTTCCTCAGGAGAGGCTATGTAAGACGCACGGTCATATGGGAGCATTTCAAGAGGTGTATGGAGGGGTGGCTAGCCCGCAGCGCAAGACACCCACCCCCGACCATCCTGAGGCTTTGGAGGCCACACCGCTTAAGTTTGAAGAATCATTTTCCACGCGGAATGCAGAGGAATAAAAATTCAGATACAATTGTGTTATTTATATGAATAATGTACCGAGTACAATTTATCGCTAATCATTAATCATATCATTGGTATGAATATGCTAGAAAGATCATCCACACACACTTTGTACTTTAAAGGTAATAAAAATAACAGTTAGACAACTACCAGCAAAATGATGTACTTGAGACTATAAGTTCAGTTTGTTATACGCGGGCTAATGACTCAGTTTAAACTCTAATTTGAATGCTCCACAGTTAGACACACTTTATGCATAATTGAAATAATGCTTCATCATTCGAAAATTTTAATTACATTAATTTATTATTAAATAAAGCAAACTGTGTATATAATGCGCAACAAGAAATGTGCCACACAAAATCTCTTAGTTTGAACGAAGGTAGTGATACTATCCGGACGACCAAATCGGAACAGGTGGTTGCCTTAAGGGACCTACTTCTGAGTCTTTGATTTCAATGCCTGATTCATCAAGCAGCGGAGAGGCATTATGAGCTACGTTCTCATAGTTTTCAGAGTCCAAAACAGGTTCATACATCATTCGATCCTTTCGGATTCTGGAGCCAATGAATACTATAGGTTTGAAATCTGTCTATCTATTTATTTTCCACACAGAACTTTGCAACGATATGCAGCAGTTCAAGTCGCCACAATCCCTCCTTGTAGCGCACAAAGTAAGAGAAGAAAGTAAAAGAAATGAATAATAGAGATAGTAGACAGGGATATGAGACAAAGGAATAGTAGTAACAAAGAATATAGATTCATTGGAAATCATAAGTCACAAGGAGTGGATGCATCTGAGCCATAATCACAGATTGTTTCCAGTCATTGGTTTTTACCATCCTGAGGACCCCAACCACGAAGTGTACACCTTCCTACGCGGCTTAAACTAACTGTTGTGGATTTCATTAACTGATAAGGCCATATTTTGGTTTGACTGCCACTAGCTATTTTCCACCCTGACCCATTATCAGCCAATATTGCCCGTCAAGGAAGGCGATGACTAGGCATGCATACGTAACACGTGAACTAACTGTCTCAATCGGTGTAACTTCACAACCTCGTGTATTGATTGCCCCTCCCTCCTTACCTAGCACTCGACCGAAGCCTAACCTCAATATTGTTCACCCTATTACACGTACCACTTCACACGGTATACAGGACGGAGGCACCTATGATCAAAGACAGCTAGCTAGCCTTTTCATGTCTTCCACTCTCACAGGTCTCTTCCAGGTCTCACAGCCATTAAGCATGACAGGGCGGACTGCTGAGCAGCTCTTTGCTCTATAGCCAGTCGGATGTCACGTCTACGCCAGAGACAGCGTAAACTGTCACATGCAAAACTAGCCTTCTATATCCGTGCTGAGATTTCGTCAGAGATCAACCCGTTGGTAGGTTTGAAATCAGGCTTTTCCAGTTCTTCCAGGCAGGAACAAGCCCTCAGTGAATAGAAATCGCCTAGCAGAGGCTATGAATAGCTGGCTACATAAGACAATTTAGAGAAAAAAGATCGAAGTCTACCTACCCTTGACCGTACCAGATCGTTTAGAAAACCAGTCGCTGAACACTAATTGCACCTAATATCCTCAGACAAAAATGTCAGCGATACGATGTTCAGGAGGAGAATAAATACAGTAAGGAAAAACTGGCAAATACCGACAATCGAAGAACAATAATTCATTCTGTCCAACCGGTACTATCTCGGTGTTATAACAAAAGGAATGAACTATCGAATAAACAATGAATTTTCATGTATTAATACTACCACAAGTCAACTTTACATGAAAGCCGGTTATTGAACTCAATTTCATACAAAGATATCCTTAAAAAAGGCGTATCTATCATATACTGATGATATAACAGAAATAACAATGGTTTGGAATATGTGTCCCTTTTTAAGAAATGTATTACTAATGTATGAAATACAGAATATAACTGCACAATATGAACAATATATCAGTAAGACACTAATCACCATCAATGGAAGTAATATGAAGAAAGTCACTATTCTCTCACTTATCTAGACAGCATCATTACAACTAAAGGCAACTGCACAGATATGAGGAGATGTTAAAACCAGTCTGGGTTGGAGTTCGCAAACAGCAAAATAGACCTTCATCATCCTGAAATCAGTGCAGAAATCTACTACACTCACAATAAACGAACAAGATTCAGATCTTAAACGCTAATGTCAAGTTAGTCACTCAGTGCTTCTATATGACTCAGAGACTGAGTATTATTCATGAAGTCTAAGAGAATTGGCAACAAAGAGCTTTGACAAACACCTATAACCGAAAGAAAAAGAGATGAGGTTGATGGTACACTGAAGAGAAAATTGAGAGATACATTATGTGCCACAAAGCCTCTCGAGTGGGACTTGATTAAGAAACGACGAGTTGAGCGTGGATCCGAAGTTGACATATAGGAGATCATGTAAGGAAAAGATAAAAGTTTATAGACTATCCTGGGGCCATCTAAACAGGGCTGTACTAAACACGGTGAAGTGAAGATGTGCTATTGAGGTGTGATGTTTCATTTGATGATGACTGTGTCACAGATGAAATACATTATGATGAGTTGATTGTACCAAGCAACGCGTTGAACATAGAATGACATTGACAGTCATTTTATATCTTCCATATGGGCAATTTATTTATTTTATTTTTGATTACAGCTTGATTCCACATCGTATTCTCAGTACAAGTATGGAATTTTCAGTATGTGATATCGGTAGCCCAAATTTTGCAGGCCGACCATAGATATCAGGTGTGCGTCAGCAGGGGATCGAACCTCGGACCATGTGTATGGTCGGCGAGAGTCCTAACCATTGTGCCACCGACGCACAGGAGATGATGAAGTTTAATAAGATTCATCAAGCCAAGAAAAAAGGATCACAATGAATATTCAAATGCAATTTAAATAGTTCGTGGTTAACCTATTTTTTTTCATTAATTCAATTTGATAACCGAATGATGCGTTACACAAACAAAAATAATAATAATAACAATAATAAACACTACTAACTTCTAGCAATGAATGAAGATCTCGAACAGGTTTTCCATGATCTCCACTTCCCGACCAACCTAACAATTCACGAACACGTTCACCAGATATATGAAGTTGTCTGGTAAATAAACTATCATTTGTTCCCTCCAAAGATTTCGTCTCTGCCTGGGGATCTGATGATTTAGCCTCCACGTCGTCAATGTCATCCCAATTAGTACATTTTGATATAAAAGTTAACGGTAATGTACTATGCCCTATAACCAAGGATTGAATTAAGCGTAGACAACCAGTTAGTGTAGCCTGACAATCTGGATTATCTGCACTGAAACAGTCATTAACACGTTGAACTAAATTGGCGAATAAATGCTGACCATTGTGAAATGCCACTGGACTGTCCAATGCTCTGTAAAATCAGACAAAAACAATATTATATATATATATATATATATATATATATATATCAACAAAACTGACACCTCAATCTGAACCGTAACAAAATCATATAATGAATTTAACACCACTCATAAAAACCAAGTTAATACAATTAGTTATAAAATTTTAAACGTTTAACCGCAATTAAAGTTATTCAAAATAATAATAATAACTTTCATAGTTATATATTTCAATGTGACAGCAACAATCCGCTAGCTATCATGTCAACATGAATGTCCTGATGAATGAATAACAACTAATAACACATGAATGTGTAAAAGGTGTAGATAATGAGCCCAACTACATCAAAGAGGTGATCGAATATTCCCACGACTCATTGCCAGAAAAGTTGATCTACAATTCAATGGATATACACGACAGAGGAGTCCCGAAAATGAAGACAAATAGAGCTATCCAGTACACCACACTGGATTTTAATGATCCTCATGGTATAAAATAGAACTTATACACAAATATAATTCCTTTGGGTTTCAAGTGAAGAATAGGGCTTCAAGCAAGACATTTTCAGTTTATCCTGCTCTCAGATGGCTTCATAATTGCCTCAGAGCATTCGTTTCCTCGTCAATGGACCCTTTCAACGCACACAAGCCTCATCGTTTTCTATTGGGGCTGCACTCAAAGGTCTATCTATCGTGTGCGATGTCACTCAACTGCCCCGTCAGTGCATATTAAATCAGTCTCCACTGCCTTCCACATATCTGTTGAAAGATAGGTTCCTGGTTGGTTCATCGCCAAACTTACTTATTGATAATCCTTTTTGAATGTCTGATCTTCAGTATGGAGCGAAGGCAGCTATTGATGAAAGTCTCCAGCAGCCTGTAGGAAATGCTTTCCGTCACGCGCATACACCGAGTCTCTCAACAATATAAAAGTAGTCACCAACTTGACACAATTAGTAAGCATCTGAATCTTCTTCTTTATGCTCAGTGCAATAGGTTTTCACACTGATTCAAGAATAATGAAAGTTTGCATTGCTTTTCTAATCCGCGCTGTGTAGCTACCTGTAGTTGAAATAGATGGTTTCCTTAAAATTCCTCCTGTTGATATTGATTGAAGCTTGATGTTGTTGGTCATCGGATATCCACATCTATGCTCATTTGAAGTCCTGTCTTGACTCCCTTTTTTGCCCAACTGTTCGTTTGCACCTGCAGATTTTTTCAGTTTGTGTGACAACTTTCAAACCTAGTCAATGATTAAATATCTTCGAACCTGAATAATCAAAGCTCAATGATCCAGACTTGAAACACAGACAATTAGGAAACTCACCGATTGGTCTCAAAATAGTACTTTGCACAGATGTACAACAGTTCCAGTTGCCACATCCCCTCCATGCAGCAAGCAAAGCAAGAGAAGAGAGTAAGGGAAGTTCAAAATATGAAAAAAACATAAATGCGAAAGAGAAAGAAAAATAACATGGAAAAATATAACGGTTTAGTGGATATAAGAGATCCACAAAGTCTGAATGCATCTCCGCCATCTTCAAGAAAGATTTCAAGCTATATCACCACTTGTCTCCAGCCGTCATTAGTTTTTACTGTACTGAGGATCGCGACCAGGAAGTATACTCCTCCAAAGGTGGCTAGCTGGCTTAAACTGATTGTTATGGATTTCATTGACTGATAACCCATGTTTTCGTTTGACCACTACCAGCCAGCTCTTTCCCAACCTCATCCTATGTCAGCAGAGAATATCACTCGTCAAGGAAGGTGATCGATAGTTAGCCATGCGAAACACATATCCAAACCATCCCAATCGATGCAACTTCACAGCCTCGTCAATTGATTCCCTCTGCCTACCTAGTACTCGACCGCGGCCTAACCTCAATATTACTCTAGGAATTAAACGATACAATAATAATAATAATAATGGGAGATAGGACACAGACACCTATGGTCAAAGACAGCTATTCTTTTCATCAATGGCTATGTGTCAGTCATGTAGCAGGACGGAGCGACAGTCGGATATCACATACACATCAGAGATGACGTAAATTGGCGAATTCCACTTTCAGCCTTTTGTATTCATACTCAGATTTCATCAGCAATCAGCTTCCCAAATAGGTGAAGTGGTCAACATGCCCCACTCCTTCACTCTGCATCTTTAAGCTAGGATTCGATGTAGTCCAATCCTGTAGCATCATCTCACATTTAACAGGAGCTAGTCACACATCAAACATTCGAAGACTGCTGCTTCTCAAGGTGATTAGAAGACTCAGAAGATTAGGGAAAGTATACTGAACCTAGCTACTATTTAAAAAAAGAATACAGAAAATTCACATATTTATTGCTTTTCACATGAAGTTGACATTTGTTTGGGATGAAATTCATCATAATGAAAAAGAAATGAAAAAAATACAACACACAATAACACTAAAATAAATCACTTACTCTTTAACAACCACAAAGCCTGGATCATGATCAGTGATTATAATCAAGGGGTCTAATGCTGCCGGTAAAGTGCTCATATCTCTGTCTGGATGATTAATATGCTTGATTAGGATAAGAACTAATTCTTTGAGTAGGCATAAATCCGGTAAATTATCAGATAAGGATTGAGCTTCACTTTCAGTTGAATCAACATGATATTTGGTGTTGTTCATTGATAATTTCACGTCGACAAGAAGACTCAAACATTGCTGAAAGGGAAGGAAAATATAAAGGAGAAAACAAAACTTAAGTGACCAAAAGTTGATCTCATGAACGAATAGTCAATAGAACCATTTTATATGCATACGCCACTGGCCTAGGGTAAAAGCTGGAATTTTTAACATAAAATTAAGTGTCCATCACTTACAGAGGATAGCGTCAACATGTGATTGATCGTTTCCAACACGACTTGCAAAGTGAGATTCTAAATCATTCTTTATTCCTTTTAACCAGATCCTATCTTAAACAATACAGCTGAATACAAAACCTGACTAATGCACCCTTCGACCCCCATTCACACCCCCTCAAAAACCACTTCGTGATGGCAAGCAAGAATCAAAAGAAACATTCATCCGTAGACTAGCTCTAAGATAATAACATCTTATTCATCACTCAATCCGACTTACACACAAACAAACACGACCGGTAATATTATATTATATACTATTATTATTCCCTTGGGTTGCAAGTAGAACATAAGGCTTCAACAACACATCTCCACTTCATTCTATTTTCTGCTGTTCTCCATAGCTGAATTCACGATTGTCCATAATCTCGCCTAGCTTAGTAGCTCGCTAGTTATCTAGCCGGTCACAAGCCCGGGAAATGAGGGAGGGTTGGGCGTGGGGGGGAGGGGGTTCTAGCGACCCTGCACACCAGAAAAACAATCAAACTGCTACAGAAACTTCAACACACGAAATAATATAAAAAAACAACCCTCATGGGAGTCGAAGAGGCGAGGCGAGACGACACAGTGGGCTGGTGAAAGCCTTCGGAAAGCCAGTGAGTCAATTTGTTTCCTTTCGATGAAAGCAAGTATGAGAATGAGGACACCAGGTAATAAGAAGCTAATAACTGGGTGATAATTTGAATCTTTGAATTTTAAACTACATCTAGCATTATATTGAGTTAATCATATAGATTGTATAAGAAAAGCTCAATTTCCATATACGCACGTAATATACAAGTCATCGGATTTATTTAATTGATTCAACAGACTAACAATATCATGGAGTTGTGGATAATTCACCTAAGCATTCCAGCTATCAACCCGTGATATATCATCGATTTAATTTCCTTGACAATCAAGTTGTACAGCCTATTGCTGGAAAGACAGAAAGATAAAACCGAATTCTACTGGGAGCACTGAAAACGGATCCAGAAACCTCAGTGGATATGTTATCGCAGAAGGTTTAAAAGGACGAATATGTGACCTACTGGACTGATGAAAGGCTATCTTGTAAAACTCTCACAGGGGAGCGAAGTCTTGAAGATCTTTAAGATCTGCAGTTAAAAAACCAACAAGTGGGGTAAAAGAAACTGCAGAGAAGAGGATGAAATAATGATATTTCATTGTAGCTGTATTTTTCACTCTGAACCCCAGGGAGTAATAATCCTACTGATAGTAATTGCTCCAGCCGGTTATAAAAAAATTATTGGACTGTAATACATCGGATGAATTCACCACAATTAATTGAAACATACAAGTATTTTTAATTGAACAGATATACACGAGTTTTTGTCAGAATATTCAGTAAGAACTGAGTCAATAACACTGAGAAAATGTTGACGACGAAGATTACCGCTAGGAGAATCAGGATTTGAAGAGGAATTGACATCTTCGATAACCGTTGTATTCTCCGCATGGCGATTAGCTCTAGTAGGAAACAAAAGGCAGAAAAATACCATTAAGATATTGCAGAAAACATTTTCATTAGACAATGGGCGGCAGTAGAATGCCCGGCAACCCCACACATGTGGTCCGGGTTCAACTCTCGGTCACAGACAGCACCCATAAAACTCGCTTACCCGGTAGTAAGCCAAGTAAAGAGAGAAGGTAAAAGGCATTATGATAACAACATCATCCCGTGACATCACCTCTTTAGAAACTTCAATGATATTGTAACTGATGACATCTCGTGACGATAGTCACTATGAAATCAATCAAATCCTATGGATACCGTTAAAATACCAAAATATGTAGGCACCTATATCTGCATTGTTTATACAACAGTTTCACAAAGGTTGGTATGAGTAAATCACTACTAACATTAGGAGTCTGTGACATTCCACATCCTTGGGCTGTCCAACTTGTATTTAGTATTTGAAGTGCATGCATGCATGCATGCATGTATGCATATGTATGAGCACCGTTTACTTTTCGTCAAAAATATTTTATTCATCTGAAAAAACACCACTTTACATTACCACAATAGATAATTTTATACTAGAATCGACTAATTTTTTTCCTTCACCTTCCCAGTGGAACATAGGGCTTCAAGCTGGAGACTTGAAGTTTCTGTAGCAGTGTGCATTTTTACAGGATGGGGTTGCTAACCTCATGTCCAACCACTCCTTTTTACCAGCTTTTTATTTCTACCTTAGCGAGGTTAGCGAGCGTGTTGGCCGGGGATCGAACCCCGGACCATGTGCATGGTCGGCGAGCGTCCTAGCCGCTGTGCCACCGACGCACGAATCAACTAATGTATACACATTTCTAAGGTATTAGAATATCCTTCAAAAATAACAATGAATTCATCACACATACATTTCATCACGAGACGATACATCAGTTTGAAAGTCAAGAAAAGTTAGGGAGCACTGGACAACTGTCTCACCTCCAATTCGGGACTTGTTAGTCATTTAGTCACCAGAGGCGGGATTCCCTTACCGGGGATTACCAACTTTGTCAAAATGGAACTAGGGAAATATTTTGAATTCACAGAAAACATCCATCCAGATATGGAAATAAGAACCAATAGTTCGGTGAAAAAAAACTCTTTGACGGCGAATGCATTTACTCAGATGTACAGCAGCAATTATATACAATTATTTTTGTATGAGTATGTGCATTCAGCCTGTCAAATAGAGCACAAGAATAAAAATTGGTCTGGAGTTTTACTTACATCTTAGTCGGGACAGAGATGGGCTATTTTTTGTAGCTTTTGGGTTTTATGCTTTCATCTATGATGTTTGGAAGGAGAGCTACTGACTCTACTAAGAACTGCAGATTCTTCGGATCCTACTCGTAAAAAAAGTTATCAGGTTTCGTTTGCTGGGTATTCATAAATTCCAGTTGTAACCTGGGAATATACCTTGAGACTAGCTTCTGAAGAATCTGCAGTCCTGAGTCAGGAGAAGAAGAAACAACCCTTTTGAGAAAGACACCAACTGAAAATAGACACACACGCACACCCCAATACTCGTAGATAAACGCATAAAAGCCAAAATCAACTAAGAAAGCCACATCTCTGTACAACTCTATATTGAATGTAGAGTTCAAAGATGGCGATCTGGGCGACAATCTAAAGAAGAGAATTTTAAACGCCCCCCCCCCAAAAAAAATAACATTCTTTGCTTCTACATTAAGATTGGTATTCTCTTGACACCTAATGTTCCCCAATAACTCTAAAGACGAACTATAATATTTGACAACTTCTACGTGTATTTACCAATCCACTTACCCCTGTGTAGCGATCTATTATAAGTCTTTCGATGTATATTTTATCTAAAAGAGCCAAAGAATATTATCTCGCCTGGGCACAGGAAGGTTAGAATGGATCAATCAGAAGTGCAATAATCCAACATGTATTCAACACTGACCACCCATCATATTAGAAAAATTCAATCAAAATTATCCCATATAATCTATACTGCTGAGCCCCAAGCGATTAGAACAGAAAACCCTGATTTATGCTACACAAAGAAGAAACTTATCCATCCCTTCCACCTAACTACCTTGGCTATAATAATTCACGAGGCTCAAATGTTATCAATATCTTATAGAAAACGACTCAAATATATTCGTATTTTCTGAAATTTCTCATCAAACTTTACAATTTACATAGTATAATATTAATCACAGGCTTTTGAAACCATTTGGATCAATAGAAACAAAGCTCAGGGGTGTGAATTAATAGATAATAATAATAATAATAATAACAGAGCTAATGAGCATTTCCGAAAATACGTATTTCCTTAAATCGTATTCTATAGTTATGACAATAGGAATATTTAAATTATCGATATTTTAATATTGTTTCTTGGTCATTTTAACTATGTCTGTCTGTTTTCGACATAGAACTTTGCACATATGTGCGACAGTTCAAATCGCCACACTCCATGAAGCACACAAAGCAAGGGAAAAGAGTAGAAATGCATAAGAGAGACAGTGAACAGAGGTGTGAGACAAAGGAATAGTAATAACGAAGAACCATTGAAAATGATTTTGAGCCTTACCACCGATTGTTTAAAGTCATTGGTTTTTACCGTCTCAAGGAACCCAACCAGTTCGGAAGTCTACACCTTCCTACTTAAACTAACTGTTGTGGATTCCATTGAGTGGTGCCGTGTTTTGGTTTGACCGCCGCTAGCTCTTTTCCAGCCTGACCCTATATCAGCCAACTTTGCCCTTCAAGGAAGCCGATGGCTAAGCATGCATGCGTAACACATGTCCTAACCATCTCAGTCTATGTAACTTCACAACTTCGTCGATTGATTTCCCCTCTTTACCTAGAACTCGACTGAGGCCCAACCTCAATATTGCTCACCTTATTATGCCACTTCACACGGGAAACAGAACGCAGGAACCTATGGTCAAAGACAGCTAACTAGGCTTTTCATGTCTTCCACTCTCAATGGCCATGTCTCACAGCCATAAAGGAAGACGGAGCGGACTGATGAGCAGTACACCCGCCCTTTGGTCGATAGTCGGATATCACGTCTACGTAAGGGACGCCGTAAACTGGTATATGCGAAACTAGCCTTCTGTATCCGTGCTGAGATTTCGTCAGAGATCAACCCGTTGTGGCTGATGGTACTCCCCAAATAAGTGAAGCGGACAACGTGCTCTATCACTTCACTTCCTATTTCTAATCTAGGAGTCGGTGTAGTCCACTCCTGTAACATCATCTTGAATTTGGTGGGGAGCGAATCGCATGGAACACATTCGTAGATTGCAGCTCAAGTTTTAACTGTTATATGTGAATATATGTCATAGTTAAAACTATAAAAGATATTCACATCATTATCTTAATTAACCATTTTGTACATTCTCTTCACCCATACTGCATAATTCATTTTGATACTTATATCCATGCTGCCTCATTAACATACATTTTCTCCCAAATGTTTCTCATATTACACCAGCTCAGTCTAAACTTCACTCATCTAGTTACAAAAGTTGACTATTCTCAGCAGTGTTTTGAAATACTTTGATGATGTAAAAAAATACTCCAAAAAGGATATTTATTTCAGGTCGAGGGTCAAACCATACCGAGTAACAAGATTATACATGAGGTTTATAAACGTGATAATAACAGGGAGTCTGGATAAGAAACGTGATCGGATAATTCCAAATGAGATAACTGACTGTTTACGTTCCCCATGGTAAGGACGTACTTCGTTTGAATACATAAGTTAGCTTGGATGCATACCGCTGCATACTACTTACTACTGATTGACTAAGATGAGTGGTTGTATAGCCTTCACATCAGCCAGCAGTACTCGCCAACGAGGCGTCAGGTGATTTGAACTGATTCGTCTTTCTGTGTTGAGTCAAACTTTGAGCATCGTTGATAAGCAAAACAGCCGTCCGGTAATTAAATCGCTTCGATTTGGCTAGCAAGTACTACTGGTTAGTTAGTGCGCAGGGGAGGGGATACAGCTACTTATTTCAGCCAATCAGTAATATATATAGCGTCATAAATAAGAGTAATATATTCAATTGGTGGATGGTGGCTAGCAGTGGAATCCAGGATGCGCGTTTCGTCTTATTCAGGACTCGTCATCTGGATGTACCTGCATTTCTCAGTGAGTGATGATGTTCCCACCGAGGCTCGAGCCCAGTGCCCATAGTTTCAAACGCCAAAGCGTTATCCACTAGACCACTTGGGCCACGAGAGCCAAGAGCACAAGAAGCCGACATGTCAACCTGAGACTGAGAACTTCGGTCCAATCAATCGACGGGAAAATCAAAAATTCAATTCAAAAGTAATATATTGTTAGTAACTCACTTTTGACGTAATGCATCTAGCACAGCATATCGATAGACTGGAATTTTCAAAAGAATAAACAACAGTGATAAGGCAGCATTCAGTTCAGTGGATTCAATTTGTTTTATAGAAAATTTAATCACATTCGTTGGATTGACTTGGTGTTGTTGTTGTTTTAATAATGTTGGTGGTGGTGGTGGTTGTTGTTGTAGTAAATTTGCATCAGAGTCGGAGGGTAGTAGTTTTTGTGTTGACAATCGTGGATCTAAGATAGGCTGTGGATTTAATAACAATTTTGTACTGGGTGTATTTAATTCACTGACTAAATGATCAGTTCTATTCTCTGAAGATGAAAGTGACTCTTCTGTTTTTGAACTGAAATAATAATAATAATAATAATAATAATAATAATAATAATAGAGAATTACAAAGACATATCATATTTGTGTGAGAAGTTTTTAATTCTTACACATTTTAAATAAGTTTATTTGCTTATTTAAGATACAGGAATACAGTATTACTAAGTGAACAATATGCTTCCAGAACAATTGACTGCTGTTCATAATTATATCAACTATATCAATTATTTAGGTATTGGTTTTGTAGGGATTTTTGTTTGATTGGTTGGAGGATTTCATCATGAGCTGACATCATTTAGAGAAACACTGAAAAACCTGGGAGTACTGGACTGCCGTTTCGTCCTAGTTTGGGATTCTTCAGCAGTATGCACTCACCGGCAAGGTTCGAACCCAGGACCTTCTGAATACAAGACCAGCAAGCTCATAGATCATTGAGCCACTGGGACTCGATCCAATGGTCCTTGAATTCTAACTTCTGCCAATTTGAGGCATAGCGCGACCATTTCGCAATGTCTTCTTCGGTGAGGTTCCTGAGTCATTTTCAACCTGGTGTACCCTTTACTGGTCATGGCTTCCTACTAGAATCCCGGGATAACAGCCTGAATAGGGCAAGTCGCTAGTGAGTATCAGATGATTATTAATTATAATTAAAAAGTAAAGATACGCATTAATAATGCATACAAGTGTTCACCTGAGTACTAGCAATCATTAGTAAATAAATGAAGATCAGTTTACATAAGAAACACATTGCAGTAAGTTGTTGGATGTTGACTTGCAGTGGAATCCAGGATGCGCCTATCATCCTATTTGGGACTGGTCATCTGGATCCACCTGCATTTCTAGATGAGTGATGGTGTTCCCCCCGCCACGGTACAAAACCAGTACCCATAGTTTCAAACGCATAAGGCTGAGCGTCTCGGTCCAATCAATCAGTCACCGGTAAAACACAAATTGAAATAAAATAATTGCTGATACCTGTTAAACAGGAATGAAGTGGCTCTCGTTGCCAAGTGGTCCAGCGGATAATGTTTAGAAAACTCTTCAGAGTCCACTACATTCACTAATGCATATACAAGAAGCACGGATTTACCTTTTTTCGTCTGTTGTGCAATCACATGTCAAACCTTACTCAACTAAAGTTAACTTTTAATCATAATTTTTTATTAGTAGTGATAAGGCAACCAGCTTATTACTAGTCGTACTTTAATCACGTTAATTAACAAAAATACACTTCTACAAATGCTGTTTATCCTACATTGCAACATCTTGCTGACAAAATTTCAGCATGCATACAAAATACTCAAAGAAGAATTCACCAATTTAGGTCATCTCTGGTATAGATGTGACATCCGGTTATCAATCAAAGGACATGTGAATTGTACAGCAGGTGTCTTTGTCCTCCTTTATGACTGTGAAACATTGCCATTGAAAGTGAGGGATATGAAAATGGTATTATTATTATTGTTCCCTTCGGTTCCTAGTGGAACATAGGACTTCAACTGCACCTCTCCACTTGCCTCTGTCTTCTTTCTGCTGTACTTTTCACCTGCATCCATGCTAATCCATACAGTTTCAACTACTCTTCACACCATCTCCTCCATGTCACCCTTGCACTGATGTCCCACTCGCCGCCTCCCTTTCGGGTTCCACTCCAGGAATGGCCTGACGCGCGCGCGATGTCACCCAACGACCTCCTCACCCAGTGTCCAATCCATCTCCACTTTCTCCTGCATATTTGTTGGTTGGCGATTGCTTCTTGTTTTGTTTTTTAGTGCCCATAGTTTCTTGTTGGTGATTCTTTCCGACCCGGCCATCTGATCTTCAGTATAGAGCCAGCGAAGACAGTTAGTGGTTGATAAAGGTAACGTCTGCAACAGGCTGTTGGAAATATTCTTTGTGACCCGCCCACCCGCCAAGTTTCTGATCCATATAGAAAAACTGACTTGACGTTTGTATTGGAAATCCGATCGAATTTTGTTGTTGATGCTGACTGAATGACGAAGATTTCCAGATTGGTTTCAGGTTGATGGATGTGTTTCTCACCTTCCTGATTCTCACTCGATTTGACATCCTCGTCCGTTCCGACTACCTGTAGTTGAAACAATGATCCCTAGATAAGTGAATGAATGAAGTAACCTCTTTCAAATCCCTCCCGTTATGGTGATTGGTGCTGGATGTTGCTGTTGTTGTTGTTTGGTCATTTTCATAACCTCCGTCTTGTCTATGTTCACCTGGAGTCCTGTCTTCACTGCCTGCTTCTTCCACCAGTTTGTCGATTTTCGCTTGTACGTCTTCGATTTTGTGTGACATCAAACATAAATCATTCTCGCGCGAAATCCAGGTCTTCTAGGTTCTTCACGTCGGTCCAGGATATCCCTGTCTTCTCGTTTCCCACTGTCTGATGCATAATCCAGTCAGTTCACCACAATTAGGAATATCATTGGTGGTATTTGTATTCTGTCTACATTGTTAAGTGTTATAATATTGTTAACAATATTGGGGTTAGATCGATGAGATGGCTAGCACACATGTTCCGCATGTCGGGCCACAGCCTTCTTAGACAGGTTATGTTAGGTGACATAGGATTAGGTTGGAAATTTAATATGGGTAGTCGAATCACAACCTGACAGCAACCCATGAAGTCATTGGACGCATGATTTCAGTCAGCCACGTAGGTAGGTATAGACGGCAAGTTTGAGGGGCTCAGGATGTTAAGAACCAGTAGCTGAATACTATTAGTGATATGGAGCAGATGGATTCATTAGTCCTTTTTCTCTATGTGGCTGCTCTCTCTCCTGTACATTATACTTTTGTTTTACTTTTCTGTAATTTGTATGCCAAATGGAGTGTGACAGCTTGAATTGCTGCACTTCTGTGCCAAGTTCTCAGCTGAAACTCAGACAGTCAATTAGAAACGGTTTACACTGGCGTTAAATAAATATGAGTTATGCAAGGGATCAAAGAAGTCCATCGACTCAATTGAATCTCGGACGTTTCACCATCAACGATCAATTTGTTTATCCATGCGAACTGGAACACATGGTGATCAATATAATTTTCAAGGGACAAAAGCTCAGCAGCTTCGTTGTGGTGTGATTGTCTACTTGTACACTTTCTGAAAATCATCGTCGATAAATCCATCTTCCAGCAGTCGTAAGTGTTATATTCTCCGCTTACTAGTTAGGGGCAGTGTTAAGGACAGCTTGGCCACCTGGTTAGGAGGGCGAGACTAAAGAGTTAGCAGGCAGACGAGCATTCTACCGCTCAGCCACCAACACTTTTAAATACTGTGTGTGTCAATTTCATCGACTGTATAAATAGGTTCTTCTTCCAAATAAAAAATGCAAATATCTCTTACCATAGTTCCTCTACGTCATCTCCTTCATTCAACGCGCTACTTTCAGCCGTTTCTTTTTCTTCTTTTTCAGGTTCATTCAGGATTTGAGTTCGAACCTAGAGAATGAACACAGACAATAATTAGTATTTCGTTAGAAAAACAAAGGTTGCAAGCAAGGAACAAAGTGTTTTAAACAAAGTCGGGATCAGAAATATCCCCATCCCCACCCGATTTTCTATTCTATGTATATTGATGAACTAGTCAAGTGTGAAAATTAACTGTTTAATAAGAAACATATACATCCAGTAAAGATCGAAAGTTCCTCTGAACAAAAAGAGATAGTATGTTGTGATCACATACAAATTATTATTATTATCCCCACGACTTCGGAGTGGAACATAGGACTTCAACAACACATCTCGGCTTTCTTATATTTTCTACCCTCCACTTCAGCTGGGTCCACGACTGCTTATAATCTCTTATCTCCTCCCCTCACGATCTGCTCCATGTCATCCTGGCACCGACGACCCACTCGTCACTTTCACTCGAGTGATGGCCTGACGCGCGATGTCATTCAACCTACTCCTTAAAGTATATCTGATCCATCTCCAATTTTTCCCTACATATATGTTGAGCAATCGGCTCATGGTTAACTTTTTGTAAGAGTTTATTTCTCCTAATTCTTTCTGGCCACTAGATCTTCATTCATTTCCAAAGAAATGTGTCAGCGAACTAATTAGAACTTGGACTACCAAAAACTTTCATCCTTCTATTGCACATATTTTCTCTCGTTCAGTTTGTTTTAATTGACTGAGATATGAACACCAATGGTACTATCTACTCTTGTGTGTATTTAAAATGTTTACAAACTTCTGATTCGCAAGTTCCTACTAAACTTGAAGAAAGGCCTGAGTATGTGTGGCAATGTGTTCCAATACATGAGATGGCTGTTCTTCACAGTTATGTCCTCGGGATCTCAAAGTGTACTTCTGAACAACTTACAATTCGCTTTCAATTAGATATCGTGGATTACTTGAATGAGACAGAGCAGATATATCATCATAATGGAATGGCTTGTGCCTTAGTTCAGAGACCATTGTGTCACAGAATATCCTGTCACTTAATACTTTATTTAAAAACATTGTACGGCGAAGGAAGTAACCTCTGTCAAATTCCTTCTATTGCTGACGACTTGTGCTGAGTGTTGTTGCTTTTGGTTGGTTATCTTCATCACCTCCGTCTGTCTTCTCTATGTTCCCCTCGGGTCCCGTATTCGCCGCTTGCTTCTTCAACCAGTTCGTTGGTTTTCACCTGTACTCTACGAGTTTGTGTGACATCTGCAAACCCCACCTAGTTTACTACCTGGCTAGTGTTCTAGCCGGTCCCAACCCACAAAATGGACTGAAGCATGTCAAGGAGACTATTGACTGATATCACACGCTAGAACTTACAGTGGAATTATAGTAGAAAAAGATAAATTAGGCATGGTTTCGAGAGTGAAATGGAAGAGATTGTGTTGGAAAATGAAACTTTATGGACAGATGTAAAAAAGGCTGAAGAGGACAGATAGCGAAACAGGGATGTCCTGCTAAAGACCTATGCTCCCCCGACTCAGAACCTAAAAGAATAATAATCATGACAATAAAGTCTACTGGAGACAGTGTACACTGATGGATAGGTTAAAACCAGATGACGAACATTAAAACATTTCCTGAATTACAAGATAATAATAATTTGCAGGTTTTTTTTAAATAATAATAATATTAATGATCAAAATAGTACGGAAAACATCTTACATCATTAATGCTATCTAAACACGCATTAGCAAGTAAACTTGCAAAGGCTAAACTGATATCCACTAAACGTTCAACGAATTTGAATAGAGTACAGAACAATAGATTGTTCGGTGATGAAATAGTTGCACTCAATAACTGTATCATTCCTATCAAATCAGAAGATACAGCAAGTAGGTGGGCAGCCCAAACATCTCGGGAACTATTTATCTAAAATTTTACAAAAAAAGACATTTTAATATCAAATAAAAATCAAAATATGAGCTTGGATGGTAGTATGAAGCAAAGTTACAAAAGCCAAGGGGAAAAAAGAGCAGTTTCTAGAATGCATTTGTATATTATATATATATATATATATATATTGGTCACTAGGGTGCAGTCAAAGTGTCATCTGTCTAGTCCTCGGTTCTAATATTAACTGAACTCTACCAGTAAAATTTATAATTTGGTCATCAAGCTAGGCGGCTTGCACTCACGGTGCACCCCAAAATGATGTTATGTGGTGGAAGTATTTGGCATGGAACCCTGCAATCCAGGTTTCAAGCTTTGCTGATACTCGTCCTTTCTGAAAATACAATCCACGTCACCATGGAGGCGGGGAAACATTGATTCTGAAAAGGTTGCGGATACGTCTTGCTGAAGGGTCCCAGTAAGCACAATGTCTAGGTCCAGGGCTTCTTGTCGATCACCTGCAACCATTATATATATATATATATATATATATATATGATGTCGAAATGCTTTCTCCTGGTGTAAACTAACGCAGATATTTTCGTTCGTTCGTTAGGGCTGACAAATATGCCCAGCTGTCGGATTAGCCAATGACAAAGTACCAGCGTACTAATGTATGCATTAGGTTATACGCCAGGTTAGAATTGATAACACATAGTTGCTTACATGTAACATTATAATGAACAATTATTTTTACATGGAATGTTAGAAAAACAAATCAAGTAATAAATGATTAGTACTCATTTCCAAAGCAAAGGTGCAAAATTTTGTAGCCAGAAATCAGGAGGCAATTCTTTCTAATGTTATGTAACTCAACTACTTACTGACAGCCGACTTGCACAGGTGAAGAGATACACGCATGAGTAAACCATCTGGAAATGCGAAAATATATCAATGCCCATGCTTATAACTATTCCATTGGAAGACTGTTTCACTAATGATTACGCAGTTGTTTGTTGATTTGAGCAATCGACTTCCAACTTAAAGGGTCACGGAATAAAACCACCCTGTAATCTACCGAGGACTTTATGTGCTTTTGAAAGCGCAAACGGATAGTGAGATGGCTAGGACATGTGTTAGACACGCATACCTAGTCATCGCCTTCCTCTACAGCAGAACGCAAGACACGGAAGCCAAGGTACACTTTCATTGATCAAACAGCTATTTATTTCTATACAGTTCATATTCTTTAACCTATCACTAGGCGTGTGATTTCGGTTTAGATTAAACGACATGAAATAGAATGTTCAAATACACATATAGTATTCTGTAGCTAATGCAGTATTGAACTGTGGGAATATGTGAGAATAATATTCCGCTGTCTGTATCACACCACCACAAGCTGACAGAAAATTGGGTTGGGAAAGAGCTAGTGGTGATCAAACGAAAACACGGTTTTATCAGTCAATGAAATCCAAAACAGTTAGTTTAAGCCAACAGACTGTAGCACTCCTGTGTTGAAGTGAATGGAGGAAAAATATCCACTAACCATTTTTAAAAGGAATGGATATCCTCAAAATTTCACAAAAAAAGTGTTTGAACTCGAGTCATAAGATCAACAACAAGCCAACACATAGAAGACCACAAGAAAATTCATCCTACTACATATTACAAAAATATCTTCGAAATAACAGCTAGGAATGTCTGCGATCTCTGTCTCACGTTATGTGGTTTAATAAGGTAAGTAATGTTGATGTTAGGCGTAGAGTGTTGGGCAAAGAGGGAAAATCAATCGGCGAGGCTATAAAGTTACATAGACTAAGATGGCTAGGTCACGTACTGCGCATGCCTAACCATCGCCTCCCCCGACGGGCGTTGCTAGCTGATATAGGTTCAGGTTGGAAAAGAGCCAGTGGTGGCCAAACAAAAACATGGCCTCATCAATCCATGAAATCCTTGACAGTTAAACTGAGTCGGTCAGGTAGGGAGATGCAGACTCCCGGGTTGGGGCCCTCGGGACTCTAGGAATCAATGGCTGGAGACAGTAGGTGACATGGCTCAACATCGTTGTCAATGGCCAGCGCAGATGTATTCAGTCTCTGTAATCTTTCATATTCCTTTCTACCATTACCCATTCTGTTTCACTCTTATACTTGTCAGACTGTAATGATTCTCTCCACTCATCTTCTTGTCTACCTTTGTGTGCTATTCGGATCGTGGCAACTCGAACTGCTGCACTTCGGTGCGAAGTTCTATGTTGAATCCAGACAGACAGACAGATATTACAACTGTTTGAAACAGATAAAGCCAGCCAGCACAACCACATCATTCGATATTGTGCAAACCGAAAGATCTAACAGAAAAAGAAGATCAGATTAATACCATTTACAAAAAAAACCGTATGAACTGCAATAAGCATAACATCAGTCCAAGTGGACGTCCCCTCAAATCCGAATCCCAATACACAAATTGATTGTAAAAAGATATGATATATGTTCCTTCGTATCAATGCATATAGATAATTATGGACACCGATTTGTTTGGGATAATTTAAAAATTTAAAATATACGAAACACTAAAAACACTGCCACGGAATTACTTGAGGCCTGGTGAATTAGCAATTAACAAACACATTACTACCATAGACCACATTTGCCGGATGATAAAAAATAAATCACATGTGATAAGAAAGTTCGAATTCCAAATCAAAAGTAATGAACAATAGAGACGTAAATTAACAACCAATCACGACAGTGGTTGCCAGGAGATGCAATTATATCATTATTCATGGAAAATTTAAATAAGTTCATTTTATACTAAAATCTGAGCTGAAGATGCTGTCCAGAAGGTGGACGACGAAAGCTTCGCAATTAAATCAACAAGCTCCTCAAAGAACACAACTAATTCAACACCATTACAATACTGGGTTAAAATTCATTTTAAAACAGTGAAAGGAAAAAAATATTCTTCCATTTTGTTTATAACTAAACTAACCTTAGATTCATCACTTGAACCAAAAGACAGATCAACAGTGACTATAGGTAACGGTAGAGGCAATAAATCTATGAATATTAATAGGCCAGGTAGGAAGAAACACGGTGATGATATTGTGAAACGGATCAATTCTTTTAGCATTAATACCCACAGGGATTTATTGATTTCTAAGATGGAAACAGAACGAGACAGTGAGGATAAATGAACAAGCGTACAACATTCGTGTATAATTAATTCACTTAAAGAAGCAGTGGTTGTTCATGTGTGCTAACACGATATCAGGACAAAACAAGGCAAAAACAAGTTCATTCTTTTAAGACAATCGCTAACTGACGTATTTAGCATACTCAATAAGTTTCGAATTAGTAAGTCTATGATAACTCACTGGTTTAGTGAATTGGTGGTTCACTGGTACAATGCTTGCCAACCACGCACATGATGCGAATCCGACTCCTTGCCGATGAACTCCCTCCCTAGCCTCACTTAATTCACTAGCTGATAGTAAGCCCGGTAGGTAGAAAGGGAGAGTTGGATGTGAAGCCAAGGATTCCACCCCGTCGAAACAACATCGTCTAGTGAAACTTCAAAAGTCTAAGGTTCTATGTACCAGTCGGAAGGCAGTCAACTTCAAATAGATGAATTCTGGGTTCGAATAACGCTCCACCTACATTTATTTGAATGTAAATAACTCTTGAATAATAGGCATCATTTGTACTGTAATGTAAAAGTTACTACTGAATTGAAAATTATTTTTGGAGACATGGTAACACTATCTAACAGACACCATAAAAATGAAACATTTCGGATATCAGATAGTGTCCAAGTTTTATCCTTACAGTTATATAGATGTTTACTTATACTTAAATACCTGGACCACACATCGTGTGGCGGTTAGTCATACTTCCCTTGTGACCAGAGTGAAGTAGGTAGGAGTAGGACTCGAATCAGGAACGCATCGGTTAGTATGGATAGGGATAATCAACGACACAAGTAGTAAATTGTGAGTTTACATTTGTTATTGGAAGTAACTTTGCAACCAATCGGAAAGCATGAAGGTAAGAGTAGGATTGAACTATCATGACACGGAAAATTTCTATTTACGCAGTATATTGTGCCCAAAATCTATTATGGGAGAAATAATACTGCATCAATGCGCAATATGAAATAAATTTATCTAGTATGCAGTACTATCACTTTAGTAAAGGTAGTATGGTCTAATAACTAGTGTGGAGTGAAAAACAAATTATTATATTACTATATCCTTTCATTCCTAGAGGAACATAGGGCTTCAGCTGCACGTCTCCATTGCCTTCGGTTTTCTGCCAACGTTTTCACCCCACTCCAAGTCTGCCCACATGCTTTCATCTCCTCTTCACATCACCTCCTCCAAGTCACCCTTGCACTGACGACCAACTCGCCGCTTCCCTTTAGGGTTCCACTCGAGCAATGTCTTGTCTAGTGATGTCAATTGACGGTTTCCTCGACGTATGGCCAATCCATCTCCATTTCTTCCTGCTTATTTGTTTCACAACCGGTTCCTGCTGGGTTGGTTAGCTCTCAGAGATCCCTGTTGCTGATCTTTTCTGGCCGGCCATCTGATCTTGAATAGTATTGAGCGAAGACAGTTGTTGATGAAGGTCTTTAGTTTGTTGGAGATGCTCTTTATGACACGCTAAGTCTCTGATCCGTATAGTTAGCAGCACTGACTGACTTCACATTGGAGTTGAAAATCCGGATCTTATTTTTGATGCTGAGTTCTGTTGACCTCCACACAGACTTGAGTGTAATGAAAGCTTGTCTTGTTTTTCCAATCCTCGCTTTGATATCCTCGTCAGTTCCGTCCGACTGTAGTTGAAACGATGCTTCCTAGGTAGGTAGGTAAAGGAGCTTGTTTCTTTCAGGTTCCTTCCATTTATGCTGGCTGATTGTTGTCTGTTGTTGTTGCTGTTGGTGTTGACCAGGAATCTTCATCACCTCTGTTTTTTCTATGTTCACCTGAAGTCCTATCTTTGATCCTTCTTCTGCCAAATTGAAAAACAAATTACTGGGCATTATTCACCCACATATGAATGAAAGCCACTGTAACTAATGGTTATTCGTTGATTGATTAAACTACGAGCATTGGACAACCATTTCAGATGATTAAGTGGGAAAAAAAGTTTTTAAAGTTAGCCGAATGACTTCCTTAGGCTGGTGGACATTTCTTTAACAATAAAAAGCATATGCCTAAGATACCACTGTAGACTTCCTACTTGGGGTCATCGGGATTGTAAGAAACAATGACGGCTGAAGACAACTGGCGAGATGGCTTGAAATCGTTGTCAATAATGCAGATGCACTCAATCTTTTTGATTTATAATATCCATAATATCTTTTGATTTATAATATCTCGTGGCCCAAGTGGTCTAGTGGATAACGCTTTGGCGTTTGAAACTATGGGCACTGGGCTCGAGCCTCGGTGGGAACATCATTACTCACTGAGAAATGCAGGTACATCCAGCTGACGAGTCCCAAATAGGACGAAATGCGCATCCTGGATTCCACTGCTAGCCACCATCCACCAATTGTATACAAATCAAATCCCCAGACATCGTCGAAGCATCTGCACAAGAAGCCGACATGTCAACCTGAGACCGAGCACTTCGGTCCAATCAATCGACGGGAAAATCAAAAATTCAATTCAATATCCAATAAAACTCTATAGTTTTTTCTATATTACTATTCTTTTCCTCTCACTTACACTTCTGTTTATTATCTGCCTTTAATCTCTTCTCTTGCTTTGTGTGCTACAAGAAGGAAGTATGGCAACTCGAACTGCTGTGCATCTGTACAATTTTCTGTGTTTAGACCAGCCAGTCAGCTTTAGATACCACGTCAATGGGAAAATGTATTATAGTTATATCATAAACGAACACTGCTAAAAATAAAATGTACCTTGAATATTAAGCACTCTATTTAGCTCAGAATGTGTATAGGCCAAAACAGCAGTAATTACGCTATCACGAATCTGAAAGTAAAAATAAAGTAAAAGTGTCAAGGCATACATCCATATATATATATATATATATGGACATCGTTGTGCACGTGGACAAAACTGTGCTGCTGAAGAAAAAATACAACCGTGATCGTCAGCGAGCCAATAATCTTTAGGTGATTGGTTCATGGAGAGAATACCATACTTTACTACATATTATTACTAAAATTGTGAAACAGGGATCCATAGTACATGCTGATGAATGGAAAGGTTATAACTCGCTCTCATATCTTGAATGTATTCATCACAGGGTAAACCGTTCGAGTGATTTTGTGGATCCCATTACGAGGACACACACAAATTCTATAGAAGGATTTTGGGGAATACTGAAAATTGGATTAGGACTATAAATGGATCTCGAAAGGATCTCACTTATAGTCATTTGGATGAATATATGTACAGAATGTGGTGTGACTTTTCTATTGACAGTCCTATGCTAAACTGGGAGGTGTTTCTCTCACATGTTATAGAAAGATACCTTATGTAATAGTTTTATGCAGTTTTTACGCTTTTTCTTTGACAATATACGTTCTCCTTTATCGAAAATACCTCTTTTATGTGATTGGTCCGTTGAGGGTCGTTCGCTAATTGGTATTTAGTGGTGCTTAAAGTTTAACTTTGCCCATATATGTACATGTGTGCGTCGGTGGGACAGCGGTAGAATGCTCACCAACCATACATGTGGTACAGGGTTCGACCTCCGATCGGCGCATTCCTTTACCTCGCTAAATCAGTAATAAGATTGGTAAAGAGGGAAGGTTGGACATGAGGCTAGCGAACCCATCCTGTAAAAATAATCACTACTGCTACCGAAACTTCAAGTCTCTAGCTTGTAGCCCTATGTTCCAGTGGGAACGTAAAGGAAATATATATATATATATATATATATATATATATATATATATATATATATATATATATATATATATATATATATATAACACAAATCAAAAAAGACGGACCTTCCACTCACCCTTTCCAGTTGGACAGCTTTAGGACCAGGGGGACAAAATGTGAAAATTGTACAAGCATAGGCATAAAATAAAGGATGTAAAATCCGAGTATCTTGAAAATCTTCACCTTGAATTGGGATGATAGTGCGTAATAGGACAGAAACAATTTGTATAATGGAATCAAATATTGAAAACACTAGACTGGCATTACTATCACAACTACTTATATCTATTAGATCGGTTGCATTGTTTGCATGAGATAATGTGGCTTGTAATTGAAGTATGAAGAAATCAGACAGTTTCTAAAAGATAAAAAAACAGAATATGGAGAAAAAAATTTCAAGAAACTATGCCTCATGAATATATATATATATATATATATATACTAGTTCACTACACTGTAGTCCACTCTACAACCACTTATTCGCCAAGCGTAGTGGATCACTAAATGTGTGCTTCTCAAGGCATCGAAAATCACAGAGTACTAGACAGCTTTTTTGTCCTAGTTTGGAACTCTTCACTAGTACGCATCCATTGTCTCATCGGGGATGAAACCCAGAGTCAAGTTACGAGGGGAGTTCAGTCACTGAGACAGAGTCCAATCCCCAGTCCATGGATTCTATTCTTTGTCAGTTTGAGATTTTTAGCTAAACCACCAGCCAGTATCAATGGCGACAGTTTGTCTTCACATCCCACTGGTTACGACTCCTCACTATAACTTCATGCAAATTGTTGAGGAGTCCCGACTAGGACGAAACAGCTGTCCAGTATTCCCTCTTGGTTTCCAAAAGTCCTCCAACTGATATCAATCCGTGATCAAACTTGAAACCGACCTAACCCCCACAAACACTAACATCTGGAAATTATCAGAGTACCTAGTAAAAATGCATAATATTAATGAAGCCATAAACTAACAAAAAATACAACAGATTTATTATCACCGTTGTTGTTACGGTGCATCGGTTGCGCAGCAAAAGAATGCTCACCAGTCACGCCTCATGTGGTTTGGGATTCGATCCCCAGTCACCGACGAATACCTCCTTTACCTCATTAAACCAGTAATAAGACTGGTAATGAGGGAAGGTTGGTCATGAGGCTAGTAACCAGCAAAAAATAAACACCACTGCTACCGAAACTTTAAACATCTAGCTTGAAGCCTTATGTTCCACTATGGACGTAAAGGAATAAAATAAATAAATAAAGTGATAATTGTTATTATGGCGTACTTTCTAAGACGTGTAAGAGCTAGAAACAGTAACAGTAACAGATTATAAATTCTCTGTTAACTAAAAACATGTGAAGCTTGCTATCTCCAAATAACAACAGCATCATTGCCTTATAGAGTATTTGACAGAAAAAGAGAAGACGTTCAACGAAGAGACTCTTTTCGGCGAATTCATTCACATAGCTGTACAATCGCACTTATATATAATTATTTGTGCGTGTGTACATGAGGTTTGTCAAGTTTGGATAATTGATTAGGTAATACAAGAATGATCTAATATAGAAACAAGGTTAATCAGACAGCAACTAAAGTGTGATTGAATTAGTAAGTTAGATGACGTAACATAAATGACTAGAAATTGAGCGTTGGTCAAGTCAATAACAGTGGTAGTGAGGTGTAGAAATTAAGTCGCGTGGGAGTAGAGAACAAGAAAGTTGTAAATGCAAAATATTAGATTTGAGAAGACAAAATGATACTAATGAAGAGACAGAAGAAAAAGATTAGGTAGAATTTACTTGTCGGGTAACAAGATAGATTAAGTCCATTGCAAGTGTAGTGATTGAACGAACTTCTTCTGTATGCAGAGTTCAGGGCTTAGCAAGTGAATCGCCATTGCTTCTGCAGTTTGAAGAAGTCTGAAGGCTACTTCGTATTCTGTAGACGACTTTGAAGTTTGTTTGGGATGTAGCACATTGTTTCGGTCAGTCAAACATTTGTGAATAGTGATATGACATCTAATGAGATCATTGTCTTGTTGGATACGTTGATGTTTTCGATTGAGTCGATAAAGTCGAATGAATCTCGAACTGTGTGGCAGAAAACTTGTCTTCTGACTGGTTCCAGTAGGTCTGCTAGCCATTGGGCTGTGCGGTGATAAGGCGAATTGGTCATGTCGAGGATCGGTCGAAGAGGGATACCCTCCTTGTGTACTTTCGGGAGTCCGTGGAGTCGTGGTATATTTTAACCAGATGGTTTTAGGGATTTGAATGTTTGGTTGCTGATGAAAGATTCAGTCTTTAGCTTACGGAGGGTGTCCGTTAGCTTTTGTTCGGTCTGTTCAGTCATGTTTTTCTCGTTAATCGGTTTTGTGAATTTACATTCATCGGATAGTATAGTCAGCATCTTACTGATATAGTCCTTGCGATTCATGATTACAATACCTCCGCCTTTATCAAGACGTAATATCATAATCTCTTCGTTTTTCATAAGTTCTTTCAGCTCCTTATAGTACGTCTTCGTCAAAATGGACCTTCCGTTGGGTTTGGTATTTATAAACTTGTGACAACAGTCGAGGATTGATGCTTTGAGTTGCTGTAGGTTTTCATCTGATGTGGGTGTGAGATCGTAAGTTTGGTTTATTAGATTTTCAAACTGAACCTGACATTGCAGCTTGTGAATACTTGGTCATTTTACGCAGAATTTTGGACCTAGAGATAGTACCTCTTCTAGTTGACAGAAGCAATTGATTATGCATAGACATAATTAAGGAATAAACTCTGGCTATGTTACAATGTTCAATGAGCTATCTATAAAGAACCTAGATTAACTAATTCCTAATAGATAGATAATATAACTCATCCTAGACAAGGAGTAATTATTAGAAAAAAGGCATAGACGCTTACCTGAATTAAGGTGATAAACGTATTTAATCCATTCATACTGATTATGTTAATCAGTGCATTGGTTCGAGATAAAATTATCTGTTGTTTTGAAAAATTATCATAGGATAAACGATCAAAAATTGACAGCTGACTTGAACCTAGTATATGCATACGTAATAAACGTAATACCAACAAAATGCTAGGCGGTATACACCGACCAGCTGTAACAATTTGAGCATTAGATACTTTTCGACTTTGAAATGTTAAATGAGATGATGTATTATTATTATCTGGTGTTATAAGATCTTCAGCAACTTCAAGATCTAAAAGTGTATCTAATGCTTCAGTCAATTCATTACTCATTGTTTGTAATTGACTAATCAGCCATGAACAGGCGTCAGGTGATAATGGTGAATCAGTCGGTACATTGAACACTCCTGTAACATGTGAACGAGACAATCCATCACGAAGCCAGCTAATATAAATTGGTGCAATTCGAGTAAATGAATTCAGTTGCACTAATACATCAATAGGCGTAATGTCTTCTACACAATCGATTTGCTGATGTGCTATACAAAAGAAATTAAGTGAAATATATATATATATATATATATATATATATATATATATATATATATATATATAATGGTAAGTACTTAGTAATACATAGGAATAAATTAGTGATGTAAACAAAAGGAAGTTCGGAGGATTTCTCGATCGAAAGCAGTTCCAACTTTCCTTTACACTTTTTACCCCATTATTGATTCTATTCAATCGCAATGGCTTTATATGTGACATTCATTTGATGCACGGAGGTGCAGGAGTATGCGAATGATAACCTCCTTCGTGATAGAGACGATGACGAAATGCAGTGCTTTGAACACCTTGGGATGATATCTTCAAAGGTAAGGCATGCGACTAACTCCTATTTTTGGTGTAGTTGTGTGCTACGAGCTGGATGGCTTAGCTGTTAATCCTTCATCGTCTCAACAGTCAACATCCTCAATGCATGCTTCAATTTGAAGAATTCTCTTAAAATTATCCCCGAGCTTAAAAATCCATAGCTTCTCGTAAACTCGAACGTGAATGGCTGTTTTTGTGTACTTTCCCGTCCTCTAGTCTGCTTGTATTGGTACTGATTGTTTTCTTGACGTCAAAGTTGACTTTTCGTTTACCTAATTTCCTTTTTATACAATGGTGAATCTTGTCTATATCAATAAATGTCTTGATTGCCGATGCACATGAATACTAGACTCCTAGAAATTCTCTGGCGTTTTTGGTGTTTCCCCTGTCTAATATTTGAGTAATGTCCCAATCAAATTAGTATCCATGGTTGTCTGCATGAACCAATATGAGGGAGAAGACATCATGTCTTTTGACGGTCAGTTTAAGCTCATGGTTGCGAAGATGTGGAAGGCATAAAAATCTGACCAATGTAACGTTTTTCACGGTTGTTGCAATCTGTCTTGTACATGATATTGGTTTTGTCTTCTTTCGCTGTTGAATTTTTTGGTTGACAAACAACCGATTTCTTTATTTACGGTTGGACAATTTGCTTTGTATTTTCATTACAGACTTTCAGTTTGGTTGGTTGGGTTGAAGGTAGACGACTTTTGGTAAAGCATCGTGGATATCCATTTCTTCTTCAGAAGACAGGCATAGGATATTTTTCTTCCATATTCCTCAAGGCGGAAGTGATACAAAGCGTCCTGGCTCTCTTGAATAGTGTTTGTATGCAACATTTTTGTGTGCTATTGGTTTGTTTCTGTTGTAAGTGATTTCTCGTATATCTGAATTTCTGATTTCCCCGTAGTCGCTCACTTAACTAAAACGTCTAAAAAATGGAATTTTGTCTATAGATTCCCCTTCTCTCGTGAATTTGACGTCCTTGAAGATGGTGTTTATTAAGTTGTAAGTGTTGTCTAAGGCATTTCATTCAAGGACAGTGAAGAGTGTAAGATGATGGCGCAGGGCTTCTTTTCACAAAATCCTAGTTTAAAGATAGCAAGTGAATTGGTAAAGCATGTTGGTGGTTCACTTATTACGGATGTTAGGACTGATTTTTAGTAAAACCTTAACACCGGTATAAAAGGGTCAAAATGATATTCACCAACTCACGTCGTCTCTGGCGTGGATGTTATATGTACCTATCGATCAAATGACATATGTACTGGGCAGCAGTATACAATTTACTGTTCATAAATGTGTTAAATGCAAGTCTATGAAACTTCGAAACTTGGATTTTATAGTTATACGTCTTTCAGACTTATGAGTAAGCACAAGTCATTTACAGCTGATTGAGTTGGTCACAACAATGAAAGCATCTCAAATTTACTTTTATATTATTACTATAATTATTCCTTTGGTACTTCAGAAGAATATTGCTATTTCATTCTGCTCCCTGAAATCCTTTTCAGCTGACCCTACGATTCCTTATAAGTTTTCACTCGCTCCTCTACATATGACCTCTTCGATGTTACTTTCGAACCAACTCCCAACTTGCCGTTTCCCATTCACCTCCCACACTCTAGAGTCTGGTGCGCGATGCCAGTCGATGGTCGTTTCAGCTTATGCCCAATCTATCTCCATTTCTGTCTGCATATTTGCTAAGCAACAGGTTCACGGTTAGTTCATCGCCAGAGTTCCTAGTTGCTTATCTTTTGTGGTCAACTGATCTTCAGTGTGGAACAACTGACAGCTGTTGATAAAAGTCTATAACCAGTTAGAAATGATTTAGATGGTGCATCATGTCTATGACCTCTAAAGAACCACTGACTTGGCAATAAAGTTGTACATGCAAAGCAAAAAAATGCCAGTGATTTCCACAAATAATTTTATTAATAAGCAGCTTATAGGCTTAGTTTTCAAGCACACTGACACTGAAATCTATGCATCCTACCTATTTCACAAGCTGGTAAACACTTCCAACCTGACTATATTTTTTTAGGCATATAATAATGCATGAAAAAAATACCCTTTATTTTGAACACATCTCATTGGAAAAGGGGTATACACATCTGCCTTGAAAAGCTGTGTAACACACAAACTCACAGGTGATCAGCTGTGCCAAACGAAATCCATAACGATCTAAGTAGGACACATCCTCACTATGACGTAATACTGTAATGATCAAGGTATTCACTAAATTGTTTAACTGAATTGGTCCAGAGAGCAAATTATGGATTGTTGCTTTCGAACTTAAAGCGCTTGGCATTTCAAAATGTTCATCTGTTGAAGCCGGATCATTTGACTGTGCTGGGAACAACAAAAGACGGCATGAAAACATGTATATAACATGAATCGTCATCAATAATGAGATTAAAGTAAAGTGTTTTCAAATTAATGTATAGAAACTGGATAAAGATGAGACTTAGAACAGCGACAAAACAAGTGACAAAGGTTAATAGACCAGGATTTAATGAATTCATCCCATTTCAGTGAAACTCTTCAGCTGAACACTCTACCTACAGTGATATGCATACACTATCAGAAATACTTTGTGAGATATATGAATTATGAGTGAATAAACTACATTAAATCAATCATGCAAAATGATAGGTGTTAATGTTTCTCAGGTCATGTTAAGATAGACGACGGGGAAAGGGGTTATGACAGTTACGTTACATCACTTAATTAAACAATTACTTATCACAGAATGAACTTGAATATATCAAAAACTGCAAACTAAATAATAATAACAATAATAATAATGGTAAAACGAGGTGGCAAAAGGTAGTTTCAAATGAATCACCAATAATAATAAGTCGTAATAATAACAATTAATGAGTAGAAGATATGATAGATCCAAAGTGACCACCGTTTCCTTTTTTATGCAGAAACCGAGTTAATAAATTCAAATTCTACAAACCTCCACAAATGAAAGCATTATTCTGTTTGTATATCTGTTGACAACAGTGGATAACTTGAGAGTATGAATATCATGTCTGTAATCTATGGGATGCTTTGCTATATTGAACTTTTTCATACCTTCAGCTTATTACAATCACTTAGACAAATGCTCCATCATGAGAATCACCTTTCTGTGTGATTTATGCATTTCCTTTTGCTTACTCAAAGACACTCGAATTGATAAACGCATTTTGAAGTGTTAAGGACTGGCGACAGAGTCTTTGCCAGATTGTCGAATCACCCGTTTGGTGGGGTTAAGGTATATATTCCTCGAAGCAAAATAAGTCCTCCTGATAGTATTACCAACCCTTCATTTAACTACTACTTCTACGTCATACAAAACATGTTCATTATACATGTGAAATCTCAGCACAAATACAGAAGGCTAGTTTCGCATGTGACCGTTGACGCCATCTCTGGCGTAGACGTGATATCCGATTGGCTTTAGATCAAGGGGCATGGTATACTGCTCAGCAGTCCGTTCTACCTCCCGTGTGAAGTAGTATAATAGGGTGAGCAATATTGAGGTCAGGCTTCGGTCGAGTGCTAAGTAAGGAGGGAGGGGAAATCAATCGACGAGATTTTGAAGCTACATCGACTGAGATGTTGTCTAAAAGGACAATGGAAGCTTCGTAATTAAACTATCCAGTTTCGAAAACGCAAACACATCAAATATATATATATATATATATATATATATATATATATATATATATAAATGAAGGAAAGAACTTACTGTTAGACTTTGTTTCTTCATTTGGAGTTTTAGATTTTTCATTTTTCGGTAATGATAACTGCTGAGTGCTATTCCCTCCACACTTTGTATCTACATCGTGTTCACCAAAAGCTTCAGTAAGCATTAGAAATGGCGCGAAATAATCATCCATAGCAATTACATCAGCAATCCATATAGGGGATGCAGTATTCAGTGTAGTATGAACAAATTCTTTGAGACATTCTAAATTAGACATCTGGTCATCATCATCATCATTATCATCAGCATCCACAGCACCATCATTGTCCATAAAATTATGAAACTGTCCAATTGTGTTCACTGTCAATCTGGTTAATCCAAATAAGGCATCACGTATTATCGCTGCTTCATTGGATCGTAAATCTACAGAACTACTAGTCTCAGACTGAAGTTGTGTGACAAATGAATAAATGCCTGTCATACCTGAAGACAAATCATACATTATGATAAAATGGGGGGTGGGGACTTTGTAAATGGGATATACATTTATTTCTCTCAACTATAGAGAAATTATGATGAATCATACTATAAGTGTTGTCAGAGTCATGTTAATTAGTGGTGAAATCGTCTTCCCGCATAATGTTAGCTTCTAGAAAGATATTTCGTTTGACGTTCTACGTAAGGAAGTTAAGACGATCTGGTATCATTCTGTCTCTACTGTTACAGTTTGTTAATGCTTGTATTCTGCCCATACTTCTTTACTGCTACCCCTTAATCTTTCCCAGGCTACTTGAGAAAGACTTTATTATCCTGTGAAGGGGACTAAAAGCCGTTAGTAGGGCAAATGAGGTGTTGCTAAACCAACTCATTAATACTATTGTAGATAGACACATGGACTCCTGCAAGAAATCAGCAAATACTATCTTGTCAAACTCTGAGCATCCTCTCTATACACAATACTCTCCTTATATTTCACCGAGTAGAGTTAGAAGCAACTATAGAAGACTGTAATGCTCGGGGACAACTAAGTACGAAAACTCTACGATACCTTATTTGGCGGGCACACATTTTATGTGATGAGAAATGCACATAGCAGGAGATTATGTAATTATTCTGGAACTCGAGGTAAACGGACCCATTTTTTTCATCCCCTGTTTTAATTATTATCCCGATAGTGAGAAAGTTAGATGCAATACATGCTAAAAATATCATATCAAAATACTGTTTGCAATAAAGCTATTATTATTATTATTAAATGGGATCACTCCACATAGTACACATTCATATTGTCTGCATATAATCAATGTCTTTATGAACTTAAATGTTACTAAAGCTGAAGAAAAGTAAAACAACAAAATTTAAAAATGGAAATTAAACAGTTTCCCAAAATATTAATGAGTTATCTATCGATACAACTTAATGACACAATGACACACAACGGCATAATTTTTACGATCAGTTATTTTTAATAGTCGGTTAAAAAATGAGTTAACAGGCCACTGGGAATTTCATCGGTGTGTAAAAGTCACTTTCGTCAAAAACTGACTTCACCAGGAGGAATATCAAGAACCGTTCACAGTACAAACATGGATATTTCTTTCTACACTGCAACTGTGTATTACAGGTGCACTTAGGACTCGAAAATAATGTCACATAGGGAACAAATTACCACTAGACCACTGGATCTTAATTTCTGTGAATTCATGGAATGGTCTCGCTTCCAAGACTGTTGGGTCAATATACAGAGGGACGAATTCGATAACACCCTCTCCAGAAGACCAAACGATTTTGGGTATGCCGTACTCGACTGGTAGCTGCTACCTTGACATGGTGGTCGGGCTTGCACATCGCGATGACCCAACAAGCTGCACTGACTGGAACCAATGTTCCTGTAGGTCCTACCATGCCAGAAGGGTTGTTAGGATAGCGATTAGACTAAAAGCAGTTACCGGCATTGTATAAGAATCTTTCTTACACTATGCTGGGGGTCTGAGGGCGAAGTCGTACTGCTGGGAAACAGGGATGTAACAGCGGTGAGGTGTTTCCCTAATATGACCAGCATGCCATCTATGCTGTCTTCACTCTGGAGAGAGGGGGGTAGAAAAGGTCGATCCAAAAATTGTACATCCCGACTTATCCTACGGTGGTCCGTAGCCGGCGAAACCAATCCCAGAAACCAGTTCATACAGGCCGTGTGTGACCGGCCTCAAGCAGTTGTCCCTGGGTTCTGTGGTCACGCAACACTAACCCTCTTTCCCTTTCAGGTACCCAAAGTACCAATCAACTACCACGGTATGGGCAGCCGGGAAGTAACAACCGCCCACACACTTCCAAAAGCACACAGACAGGGTATGGCGTATCACCGGGGAAGCGGGGGCATACACTCCTATAAAGGAAACACTCTTTAGCAATGTTGAAATGAACAACATTCCTCTATTTTGTATTGGTTTGTAGCAAAAACTACTCTAAAAAGTAATTCCATATTAGTTTGATTATTAAATGTATCACACAGTGAAACAGTATTGTATACTGGATGACGTTTCGAACACAATTTATTGTTCATAATCATATCAATTTTTGTCACACGACTTCGAGATTTGATTTTTATAGTTTTCTCTGTCTTCTCCTATTTGTTGTATGGGCAGTAGAATTTTCCATATATCTGGGACAGGTGTTGAATCATTCCTATTACATGTATTTGCAGTTGATTCGATAAACAAAGCTTCTGTTATCAATCTCTCCCTATACCCTGTGACATTAGATTTTAAAACTGTCATCCTATCCCATCCTATTGTATGGTTGTGTGTAACTGCATGTAGTGCTATAGCTGAACTACTCTCTAGATTTCTTATCTTATTCGGGTCAACCAATCTAGATTTAGCTAGGTTTTTATGTTCGGCTAGTCTGACTGCCCCTGTTCTACTAGTTTGACCTATGTATTTGACCTCACAATCATTGCAGGGTATTAGATAAACTAAATTGTTTTGTTTTAATGGCTCTACAGGATCCTTTAACCGACAAAGCTTGTTTCTAATTGAGTTTGTGGGTTTGAATGCCACTTTTATTCCTGCCTTGTTAAGAATTCTGCGTAAGGCTTCCGAGGTTCCTTCTTTGTATGGAATTATTGTTGATGATTTACATTCCTTATTGTTGGTGTCGTTATTAATATTATTATTATCACTATTATTATTACCATTATTATTATTGTTATTATTATTATTGTTATCATTATTATTATTATCACTATCTCTGTTATCCTTCTTTATTTTATTTTTACATTTACTTACATATTTCTTGACTAATTTATCCGGGTAATTATTAAGTTTCAAGGCTTCTTTTATGTGTGTCACTTCCTGTCTTAGATTTTCCTTGGTACTACTTAGTTTTTGTGCTCTGTCATTTAAACATTTCACTAATCCTATTTTTACTGACATAGGATGGGATGATCGGAAATCCAAATATCTGTTTGAATGTGTGGGTTTTCTGTAAACACTAGTGTTTAGCTTCCCATCTTCTTTCCTTTTTACGTTGCAATCTAACATTGGAAGTTCCCCTTCCTGACTTTCCAATTCATAAGTGAATTGAATTGCCTCTACCTTCGAGTTGATGTGCTCGAAAAATCTATCTATATCTTGTGTTCTAAGTACAGTGAATGTGTCATCTACATACCTCCACCATACTTTTGGGGTGGGGGTGAACGTTTCAATCGCTATCTTTTCCCACCTATCCATGAATATATCTGCTACCACCGGGGATATTGGTGATCCCATGGCAACTCCCTCAGTTTGTTTGTATATTTTCCCTTGGAATTTAAATACTGTAGAAGTCAGGCAAAGCTGCACTCCCAGCATTATGTCCTCAATTGGCACTTTTGTCCTAAGTTCGAGTTCTTGGTCAGAAATGAGTTCGTTTCTGACTGCCTCTATAGCCATATTTATTGGTATACGTGTATATAAACTGACAATGTCAAAACTAACCATTTTTTCTTCATTATCTAATTTTAAATTATCTAATCTGTGTTTTAGTTCATAAGAATTAGTTAGTCTAGATTTCGAGTGGATTTTTAGGGGATTTAATACCATGGCTAAATATTTAGATAATTCATAGGTAGGTGAATTTCTAAAATCAACTATAGGCCTAATAGGGTATCCTGATTTATGAATTTTAACAACACCATACATCCTACTGGGGTTATTAGTTTTTGGCATTAAATTAAACCACTTAGACTCACCTAGAAACGGCTTCATTCGGCGTATAAGGTCCGCTGTGGATTTCTTAACTTTATTCATAACTGTGTCTATTGATTTATTAATTTCCTCATATGGTCCTGTTTGTATGTGAGTATTTACCTTGTCCAAATAGTCCGATTTGTCTAATACTACTGTTGCGTTCCCTTTGTCTGACTTTGTGATTACTATATCCTTGTTATTCTTGAGGTGTTTTAGGGCTTCTGTCTCTTGTTTTGTCAGGTTAGGTTTTCCACATTTTTGTCGTTTTAATGTAAGTGCACATTGTGCACGTACTTCTTCAGCTGTTGTTTTGTCTATCCCACTTAGTGCTATTTCTATTTTAGGGATGACATCCTCAGGTTTTAGCTTGTCCACCGCTACATTGAAGTTTAGTCCCTTTTCTAATACACTTATTTCCATCGGACTTAATATATGTGATGAGAGATTGATAACCCACTTTGATTTATCGATCGCCGTTGATTTTGGATTGTTGACTTCATTATTCTGAGATGAAGATTTCTCCTCTAATAATTTGTTGAACTTTTTGATTTGACTATTTTTTGACTTTTTGAAAGTGGCTGATTTTGCATTGTTGGAGGATTGTGTTATACGATCATAATCTACATTGGTAACTATTCCTTTTAGCTTTTGTTTTAATTGCTCAATTTCACATCTGATATGTTGTAATTTTCTAACGATTCTGTGGATCTCTTCTTTCAAGCATAATTTTTGTAGACTTTCTATTCTGCTTCTAACTCTGTCCGTTGGAACTGGAGCTCGTAGACGTAGATATTTAGGAATGATTTCATTTTTTAAGCATCGAATGTTAAAAATACGGTGATTTTCATATCTTGCTTCAGTTTGTGAAAGTCGAGTGAGTTTATTGATAAGTCTTCGTACAGGAAGACCATAAGTCATGTTAATATATGTGTAAAACTTGGGCACTGTGGTATTAAGTAATTCCATATTAGTTTGATTATTAAATGTATCACACAGTGTTCGAAACGTCATCCAGTATACAATACTGTTTCACTGTGTGATACATTTAATAATCAAACTAATATGGAATTACTTAATACCACAGTGCCCAAGTTTTACACATATACTCTAAAAAGTCAAGTAACTAGGAAAATAAATGTGCGAAACAGAATGGTATAAATACTTCAAATTGTTTAAAATAATGATAGATAACTACAATATGTAATTTTTTAAAAATCTTTTTAACAAACCTTTCTTTCTTGTCCAATCAATAATTAAATCAAGATATCGTAGAGCTTCAATTTTGTAAATTAATTCCAAACCAAATATGAAGAATTCAGAAGCAAATGATTTATTGCTATTCATGTTATCCTTTAAAACACCATTGGAAAATATTTGTAAACACGACTTAACTAATAGACTTGTTGATTCTGGTCGATAGGCGAAAAGCAATAAACCATGAGAATGTGAACATATTACACGTAATAATTCACATATTGATACTTGAATTTGTCCAACCAATGAGGATATGTTCACCATCTCATATTGGTTATCAGTTTCATTGTCTTGTAATACACCTTCGTTCATATTTGCAATCGTATTGATCAGATGAGTCAATGAGTCAATCAAACCACTTAAAGGAGAAAGATAAAAGGAGGTATATAAGTATATTCTCTATAGTTTGGTTTGTAAGGGTAAATTTCGTTTTTCACGAGTTGATCACGGATTGATATCAGCTAGAGAACCATTGAAAACCAGGGAGTACCGGACAGCTTCTGTTTCATCCTAGTTTGGGAATCATCGGCAGTACGCACCCACTGAGGTTCAAACTCAGGACCTTCCGGTTACAAGCCAAGGTCGTATACCATTCAGCCACTGGGACCCGATTCAATGGCTCGTGAATTCTAACTTCTACCAATGTATATATATGTAGATATATGTAGGAATAAAGCTTGAAGAAATTGACTTTTCACGACAATACAACAGCACAATATAGTGTTTACGAGAATAAATTTCATAAGTAAAAGTTTTATAAAGTTACACAATTGCGTTCAACTTCAATTTCACTTTCATTTTTTGTAACAATTACATGCATTAAATACCGCTTTGTTATCCCAGCTGAGGAATCAAGAGGAAAAGGTAAAAGCACAGAATATATAAGTACTATTTTAAGGGGGGGAAAAGTAATCCTACCTTACTGACTGAATTTCGACATTTCGACTTTGCACACAAGTACAGCAGTTCGAATCGCCACACACCCTTCATGTTGTAAACAGAGGAAGACAAACGAGAGAGAAAAAGGAGATCCAAAAGAACAACAAAAAGCAGAAATGTAAAAGAAGAAGAGAAAGAATAATAACGATGGAAAAATATGACAGTTTAGTGGATATAAGAGATCCACAAAGTCTGAATGCATCTGTGCCATCTTCGAAAAACATTTCGAGCCATATCGCCACTTGTCTCCAGCTGTCATCACTTTTTACTCTCCTAAGGACCTCGATCAAGAAGTCTACACCTCCCTAAGTGGCTAGCTCACCTAAACTGACTGCTACGGATTTCGTTGACTGGTAAAGCCATGTTTTCGTTTGACCACCACCAACTAGCTCTTTGCCAACCTGATCCGTCTTATGTCAGCAGTGAACATTACTCGTCAAGGAAGGCGATTGATAGCTAGTCATGTGTAACACATGTCTAAACCATCTCAATCGATGTAACTTCACAACATCGTCAATTGATTTCTCCTTCCTACCTAGTACTCGACCGAAGCCTAACCTCAAAATTATTCACTCCACAATACCATCTAACAAGGGAGATAGGACGCAGAAACCTATGATCAAAGACAGCTCCCTCTTTCATCAATGACCATGCCTCAGTCATGAAGGAGGGTGAAGTGAACTGCTGCGCAGTACACACATTCTTTGATCGATAGTCAGATATCACATATACACCAGAGATGACCTAAATTGGCGAACTCCACTTTCAGCCTTTTATATTTATGCTGATGGAACTTCCCAAACAGGTGAAGTGGTCAGTCAACACGCCCCACTACTTCACTCTTTATCTTTAAGCTAGGAGTTGATGTAGTCCAGTCCTGTAGCATCATCTGACAGAAGTAAATTGCATCCCTACCTGAGTTACTGTGAGTCCATGTCTTAGAGATAGGGTGCTCACCAATAACGTACGTAGCCCACGGCTCGATTCTCAGCTGACACACTCCCAAACCTCACCTAGTTCACTGGTAGATATAAGCCCCGTAAAGAGGGGAGGTTGTGTGTGGGGCTACCAACCCCATCCACTCAAAACAATGTCATGGCTACTGAAACTTCAAGGTTTTAAGTTTGAAGACTAGTGTTACACTCAAAATTCAAGGAATGAAAAAGCCGAGCTACTAGAGTAATCTCAGCCTTATTACTTCAAAACTCTAGTTTCAGTTGTAATGTAGACAACGCTCAAGATTCTGAAATCAGCAGTTGTCATTGACTGTCAGGAAATTCCTAAAGTCGGGTACTCAGATGCACCAGTGATCACCAAACAATAAACAATAAGTCACATGACAGAAGTCAAAACAACCGATCACGACAGCCTGTCAGGAGATACTCCAATATCATTCATGAGGAGAATTCAAACAAGTCCAGCTCATAATGGGGTTGGTTTCCACCGAAGGTGTTGTCTAAAAGGACAATAGAAGCTTCGCAATTAACTCATCCAACTTCGAGAACGCAACCACATCAAAAACAAACGCGTGAGCTACAAATTTCCCTCAATTATTCTAAATATCACATACAAAGGCAAATAAATGTAAAACAAAACGAAACATCAAAAACTTACCAAGAGTCTATCATAGAACAAAGATCTGCATAAGGATTGTAGGAGATTCGTTTACTCTCATTTAGCAACAATGGACAAGGAAGAACCGACCGAGGATTTGCCTACAATAAAAATCAGCATCATTGTGACTAAAATATCATCAAACAGAGATATGACATATGCATATATATATATATATATATATATATATATATATATGCACCTGAATGCAATATTCAGCATGGTTAATGACTACCGATATATGTCACGTAAGTAACATGGGAATCCTATCAAAAGGAAAATAAGCACTCGTAAATGACAACCAGAGATGATGTCAGCAGTGAATATGAAAAAGCTTCTTTTCAAATAGACAAGATTTCTGTAGCACTGACTGACTATCACTAGTATATCACAGTTGAGCACACTAATACACTAATTACCATAAAGTGCATAAAGTGAACGATCAGACTATGAATTCGTTACAAATGGTATAAGCACCACTTCTACAAATGAAGTGGTGTTACAATACATCTGTGATTAATATCAGCAACAATAAAAACAAAGTGAATAGTAGCCTGAAGACCAATAAAACACAACTCAATTGACAAGACGGTGAGCCTCATGAGCCTTCTTATGTATAAACCTATGTTATATATTCACCAGGAAAGATCAAAACGAAAACTGAAATTTTAAGGAATGTAGACAATGACTATGTGACACAGGCATAATTGACAGTTATAAAATTCAAGTGTCGGTTTGTAGGGATTTGGTTGATTGGTTACAAGATTTCATCATGAGCTGATACTACTTAGAGAACCACTGGAAAACCTGGGAGTACTGGACAGCTGTTTCGCCAACCTAGTTTGGGACTCTTCAGCAGTGCGCGCCCACCGGTGTTCAAACCCAAGACCTTCTAGTTGCAAGACGAGCTCGTATACCACTAAGCCACTGGGACCCGATCCAATGGCGAGTCCATGAATTCTAACTTCTGCCAATTCACAACATAGCGCGACCCCTAGCCAATGTCCTTGGCAAGTATTTGTCTTCACAAACGACCTACTGCACCCTACTGGTCATGACTTCTCACTAGAACTCCAGGTGACTACCTATCTGAATAGGGCAAGTCACTAGTGAGCAACGTGCAAGAAGTAGGTTGCCTTCCAAAACAAGAAATATGAATTACCAAAGGTTATCATCATTGGCGTACCCAAAACTGAGGAAAGCTGAGTATAAAAACTGACAGTTCACACCAAATCCAAGATCTTGACCTGAAATGGATCTCGTACGAATCCATCAGGACCATTAGAAACCATAAAAGTAGGTAACTACTACTGAAGGTGTTCTGCTAAACTAGTACATTTAACTATACTTGAGAAAAGTACCAATAACCGGTCACCTATTTCGGACTAATATTTTTGGGTGATTTTGAAACCATCATATAAATATATATTAATTCAAGAATTATGGTGAAGACTTCGATATCCTGAATTTATCGTTCAATTTTTAGATATTCCTTTGCTGGAGGTAGGATTAAATGTTTCAAAAAACATATCAGTTACGACCTGGGATATTAATTGACCTGATTGTTACACTCCTTCTAATTTGACTGTATCTTTTCACTTGGAATTCGATGCCAGTAGACGTGGCGCATAACTGAATTCCTAGAATGATTTCGCCGATAAGAAGCGTTGCCCTGAGAATGAGTGATTTTGGGTTATACCGACTGATACAACATTAGTATAGAGACTACTTACATCAAAAGGAGAATTATTAGTGAAACTGTTGATCATAACCATAAATAAGAAGTAATCTAGGACATCCAGTGTTACCATATACGGAAGGAGCATCAGAAGCCCTAGGTAAATTTCTTGTGGAGATGTGGCTTAATTGGTCTAAGCACTCGATGATTTAGGCAAGTCCGCTTAGTCAGTATCCTTCAGGTTTATAGGAATATAGGAAAATTAGCTATGTGTAGAACAACTGACTACTGTAAAAATGAAAAACTTGAAGGAAAACTCACCCACTGCAATGTATACAATAGGGCAGTACAGAAATACAGTTTTAAAAGGTAATATAAGTAGGTGGAGGGAGAGTTTGACCACTGGATACTTTTTTCATAAAATCCATGCCTAACACGTGACTCAACATTACCAATAAAATCAAATGATAAGAAATCATAAAATTCTATTTTTTCCAAAGTTCTGAAGTTATGTGAGTGCTTAAATATATTTATAAGTAATTAATGTACTCGAAACATCACCAGGTGAATAATAATAATAATACTGTGTCCCTGCCTTATCTCCAATAAAATTATTCTATGATGGGAGGAGTATACGCTAACAAAGTGCATGTATTATCTAACAAAACACTCTTAGGTCACGCCACTACTAGTTCGAAAGTAGAATTCACTAAATGATCAACCGGAAACCGTTTTTCCCTCGTTAACTGATAGATATAAGGATAGTCGTCTTTTGATCCTTCATATAGCTCGCAACCAAATTTAACCTATATCTGGATACAAACATAGATGGTTTTACAATATTAACAGTGTTTTGAATGTCTCTCAAGGCAAAATACTAATAGGTTATTTTGTTACCTCTCGAATCTTGTGATTGACTGACTGATTTCAATATAGAACTTTGCACAAATGTGCAGCAGTTCGAGTCGCCAGACTCCCTCCTTGTAGCACACAAGGCAAGGGAGGAAGAAAGTAAAAAGAAAATACAGAAGAGAGGCAGTAAACAGAGATATGAGGTAAAAAGAATAGTAATATAGAAGAACAATATAATTTTATTCGATATTGTAAGTCACAAGGAGGCTATAAAGTTACATAGACTAAGATGGCTAGGTCACGTGCTGCGCATGCCTAACCACCGCCTCCCCCGACGGGCATTGCTAGCTGACATAGGTTCAGGTTGGAAAAGAGCCAGTGGTGGCCAAACAAAAACATGGCTTCATCAATCCATGAAATCCTTGACAGTTAAACTGAGTCGGTCAGGTAGGGAGATGCAGACTCCCGGGTTGGGGCCCTCGGGACTCTAGGAATCAATGGCTGGAGACAATAGGTGACATGGCTCAAAATCGTTGTCAATGGTCAGCGCACATGTATTCAGTCTCTGTAATCTTTCATATTCCTTCCTACCATTACCCATTCTGTTTCACTCTTATACTTGTCAAACTCTATTGATTCTCTCCACTCATCTTCTTGTCTACCTCTGTGTGCTATTTGGAACGTGGCAACTCGAACTGCTGCACTTCGGTGCCAAGTTCTATGTTGAATCCAGACAGACAGACAGACAAGGAGTGGATGCATCTTTGCCAGCCATTGACAACGATTTTGATCAATATCACCAATTGTCTGTCTCCAGCCGTCATTCATTTTTACCGTCTCGAGGACCCCAACCACGAAGTCTACACCTCCCGATGTGACCAGTTTAAACTAACTTATGGATTCCGCTGACCGATGTTATGATTTCGTCTGACCACCACCAGCTAGCTCTTTTCCAACGTGATCCGTCCTATGTCAGCAACTAACATTGTAGGTCAAGGAAGACGATGACTAGGCATGTATGTGTAACACGTGTCCTAACTATCTCAATCGGTGTAACTGTACAACCTCGTCGACTGATATCCCCTCCCTCCTTGAAGTTTCGATAGCAGTGGTGTTCATTTTTGCGGAATGAGGTTGCTAGTCTTATGACCAACCTTCCTTCTTTACTGGTTTTATTAATGGCTTACCGAGGTAAAGGAGTGCGTCAGCCGGAGATCGAACCCCGAGTCACATGAGGCGTGGTTGGTAAACATTTTAATGCTGTGCTGCTGACACAGGTAAATAATTTTATTGAGTCTCAGAGAGGACCATCATGCGCTGAAGAGAAGAAATATTTATCTACAACATTTTATGAAATAATAAACGCCATCAGAATGACTTACAATAATTTGTTCAGCATTTTGAAAGATATGTGTTATCCTCCTTAACCGACTGACTAAAGTCTGTTCCAATTCCATAATCTGAAGTATATCATCATGATTTCCATTGAGATACTGTTCACCGATTTTCTGAAATCTGAAAACAATGAATGCCGTTCATTCGCATATTTCAATAATTAAATTAAAACTTAGGAATAAGTAAGTCAACGTCATCTCCCCTTGGGTTCAGGGTGGGGCATAGGGATTCAGTTGCACAAACGCTAACCCACTTTACTAATCGATTCTAACGCTGAAAAAAGACAGAAAGTTGAACATGGGACTGGTGACCCTAACCAATAAAATCAATCTAATCGCTACATAAACACCTCAAAGCAGAGAACAATTAAGTAACCAGTGGACTGAGAAGAGTACTCCAGAAGATTTCAACTTTAAGGACGTTTTGTGTTTAAACGCCACACCGACTCAAAGATATATGGGCGAGAGCTAACATGAAGAGGCAGGCGGTGAAGAAAGGACCTCAAGTTGACATAGAGAAGATATGGATGATGAAGATATCTAACCAAAAATAACAACAAACACCAACCAACTGATCCTGAAGGTCTCCATCAAAATCAACCCGATATGCATTGGGCAGTTTCAGTCACTTTCAACCTCGATTCACGGAAAGCTGGAAAATCACAGATGATATATATATATATATATATATATATATATATATATATATAGACCGCATTGTGCATAAATAGCACTATCGTCATCAGTTAAACTAAGAATACTTACTGGTTAACCAAATCCCGTAATCCAGAAAGAAGTTCATATGTGTGCACTTTATTTAACAATCGTTCATACGCTGCAGTTACACGAGAGTTCTGAAAGAAGAAAATAGCAGGCAGTGTTTGTGTAATTATCAAGGGGAAAAGATTAAGTATTTATAACAACAGTTCTATTATCATTCTACTCTCTTCATATAAATATTGGATGGAAAAAAATGTCTGGCAAAATTGTGACAGCGAGACAAATACTAACTTTATGTATTATTATGAGCAACTTTTAGTCAGATTATTAAACGCAAAAAATAAGAAAACAAATAAAACTTTTGACGGAAAAAAAACAACAATCAGCTAAAAATTCCAGCCTAATTTTAGATCAGTTAACATTTCACATCGAGGAATGCGGTGGCCCAACATATGCAACAAGTGTCCTAGCTATCTGAAGCGATAAGGCTTCATGATGTCATCATTTTACTTACTTACTTACCTAACATCCTATGCCTAACCTCAATATGACGCACCAAACTTATACCATTTAACAGGGGAGATAAAACACAGACCTTTGTGGTTACAGACAACGACCCTTTTCATATCTTCCGATTTCAACAGCCAAGTCTCCAGCTGTAAAGGAGGACAGAGCGAAATGCTAACCAATACACACATTATTTGATCGATGGAGGGACATGACATCTACACCAGATATGACTCGCATACCATAAATACAAAGATTTCTGTCCAAGGTGTTCAGAAAGGCTTAGCATTCTGTCAGCATTATCTATAAGTAGGAGGAGGATGGTCGCATTCATTATTACATCTACGATGAAATAAACACATTTGGGAATAATGAACATCCCTAACTGACACCACTGTTCATCATCACTTCTGCTGACATGTTTCCGTAAGCCTTAACACGGCTATGCGAGTTCAAGTAGAGTTAATACCTTGATAAGTGTGGTACAGCACCTATCAGTCGATAGAGATGAATTTCGCCTTCAGGTAAAGAAATATAGCGATTGTTGGACGCCAGTAAGTATGGTTATGTGCCCTTCCCTATGGCGTGAAGGGTAACAGGTTTTCTCAGGTATGTTCCTCTTGAGCACCAATTGGTCTAAGCATGATTACTGAACCTAGAACCTTAAGTACTATATTGGTGAAGCTGGTTACCCCATGATTATCAAAAGAAGACTCATTTCACCTGTTACATAGTGGGATAACCAATAATTTATACCAGTCAAACGGAACTATTTCTGTTCCCCAAATATCAGTAGGCATTCATATGAAATCATAGAATTCATTTAAACTGACAAAATGTCATTTATAACTTACTGCAACTACGAACATTATTAAAAATTCAGTAACGAAACCAAAAATGATCCACAATGAAGGTAAATTGGCTGTACCGATTAAGGCAAATAAGTTCCATTAGATAGGTTTAGTGTAGAATATAGCCGGACAGTATAAAAAGCCCGTTCATATCAAACACGATTCGCTACGTAGTATACAAGTGTGTATAAGTTTTTAGAGTTGCTTCTTCATTACCTTGTGAATATTTGACATGATGAAGACTAAGAGGGGGAGGGGGAGGGGGAGATAATATAAGTCAGCTGGACCCTAATTTATGCTCCACAACCATCTTTACAACCCACCCTCCCCCCTCTTCCACAAAAATGCTACGACCATCTTGAATAGGGAAAAAATGAAACACAGTCACATGAATATCCTTTCACCACATTTCTTTGAACTCAGTTGCTAAATACGTTACGTTATGGGTAATACCCTGTATTCAAAGCCAAGAGAAGTTAAGCCTTTCAAATGAAAGTCACATAATCCATTCAATTAGCTAGACCTTGATCAACCTCTCTCTCTCTCTCTATCTTCAATCGTCTGCATATAATTATTACAAAGAATTGAGTTTATTCAAGAACACATAAACGAAAACGAAGTACATCAATGATGAATGACTCATAAAATATAAAATATAATATATATAAGAAACAGCCTTACTTTACTGCCGCTAACAATGAAAATGAAGCGCTGATATGGTGACTGGATTCTATCAGATGATAATTGTCTGTCCAACATTTCTACATCGTTGTCGTCAATGTGTTCCAGTTTAGTGGATTGATTGAATTCACCTTCAACATTATACTGTTCATCGTTTGTACTGCCCTTCATGGCACCAATAAACTGATCCATTCCATCAGAATTTGCTTCAGTCTTTAATGGTTCCTCTGTACAACTAACTTTTTCATCACTACTTATTTGGCTCACGCCTAAGAAAGCATTCAAACCAATAGGTAATCGTGTAGTCTGATCTAGAGCACGACAAACAGAAAGTCTCAGTGGCGTTGTAATTAAAGGAGACTCCAAAAGATCTAAGAGCAGGTGCTGAACCTAAAGAGAGAGAGAAAAAAAGTGAGGGTATTTTAAGTAACAAAAAGAACAACACTGAAGTGCTTTCTGTGAATACCATTCTCCTCACTGACAACCGACTGCAAACACACATGCATTAGGAAAAGTTATTTAGGTCACTGACATTACAACAGACTATCCAAAAAATAGAGAAATGGTACACCTAAATTTAAGCGTACGACTACGTTGTTAAGGAACTACCATTTCTCAAAGAAAAGACAAGCATATACACCTCCTACCTAATGAAGAAAAGTGACAGTAACTATACAATTCATAATAATAATAATAATTTGTCTCCGCATTCTTAATAAACTTCAGGAAAGGCTAATGTCAACATTAGGAAACACTCGGCAGTGACTTATTCTTATTATAGTTTCCTACTAAAATAATAAGCCGCATCATCCTGCAGAGAATCAAACAAGGCCTGGACGAAAAACTTCGACCGAAACAGGCTGGATTCAGGAGAAACAAGTCATGCATCGACCAAGTCGCCACACTACGGATCATCATTCAACAAAGCTTGGAGTGGCAATCACCTCTCCACCTCACTCAACTTCATCGACTTTGAAAAGGCCTTCGACAGCGTCGATCGAGAGGTCATTTGGCAACTACTTCGCTTCTACTACTACAGGGTGCCATCGACAAATATACATCTCATCCAACAGCTATACGACAATGCTGCATGCCAAGTAATCCACAACAGGAAACTTATGGAATCCTTCGAAGTGAAGACGGGAGTAAGGCAAGGCTGTCTACTATCGCCAATGATTTTCTTGATTGCAGTAGATTGGATAATGCGACAGACAACGGCAACGAACGAGGGAACAGGCATAAAATGGACCCTAAGGAAAAACTTGGAGGATCTGGACTTCACCGATGATATATGTCTGATTTCTCACAAACTGGAAGATATGCAAGTGAAAAGCAACAAGTTCGCAGAAAAAGCATCCAGAGAAGTTAGGACTTCAGGTGAACATAGAGAAAACAGAGGTGATGAAGATTCCTGGCCAACACCAACAGCAACAACAACAGACAACAATCAGCCAGCATGAATGGGAGGAACCTGAAAGAAACAAGCTCCTTTACCTACCTAGGAAGCATCGTTTCAACTACAGGCGAACGGAACTGATGAGGATATCAAAGCGAGGATTGGAAAAACAAGACAAGCTTTCATTACACTCAAGTCTGTGTGGAGGTCAACAGAACTCAGCATCAAAAATAAGATCCGGATTTTCAACTCCAATGTGAAGTCAGTTAGTGCTGCTAACTATACGGATCAGAGACTTAGCGTGTCATAAAGAGCATCTCAAACAAACTACAGACCTTCATTAACAGTTGTCTTCGCTCAATACTCAAGATCAGATAGCCAGAAAAGATCAGCGTCAGAGATTACTGGAGCACACCAACCAGGAACCGATTGTGCGACAAATAAGCAGGAAGAAATGGAGATGGATTGGCCATCAAGTGACATCACTAGACAAGCCATTGCTCGAGTGGAACCCTAAAGGGAAGCAGCGGTGAGTTGGTCGTCAATGTGAGGGTGACTTGGAGGAGGTCATGTGAAGAGGAGATAAAAGCATGTGGGAAGACTTGGAGCCAGGTGAAAACTCTAGCAGAGGACCGAACGCAGTGGAGACGCGCGGCTGAAGCCCTATGTTCCTCTAGGAATTTAAGGAAATGACAATAATAATAAAATAAGATATTGAGGCCAACACTAATAATAACGTCTTCGAGAAAAAACTTTCATGAAAGACAATTGGAAGGCTAAACAAAGCAAACTAAAATGCAATTTTCAATAGGCTTTATGAGCTGTACATCAAACACAGAGTTAAACGAAACGAACAAGTACGGCTATATCACGCATAAATCACACTATGTGATTTTATCTGTGTTAACTGTAAAGTTATTTAGCAACGTGTGATTAATTATCAAGAATTTATCATATCGTTAAAAATGTTATTCAAATGAAATCGTACAGACACACAGTAGAAAATAATTTTGGTTTGTAGGGATTTTGTTTGATTAGTTGGAGGATTTCATCATCACCAATACTTGAAAATCGATCTGATGCTCACTAGCGACTGGCCCTATTCAGGTAGCTAGTTATCACTGGGGTTCTACTGAGAAGCCATGACTATTACGGTACAGCAGGTCGAAGATGAGGACAGTTATTCATCGAAGAAGACACTTTGAAGTGGTCGCGCTATGTTGTGAATTGGCAGAAGTTGGAATTCATGGACTGGCCATTGGATCGACTCCGAGTGACCTTAATGGTCTACGAGCTCGCCTTGCAACCAGAAGGTGCATGGTGGGTGCGTGCTGATGAAGAGTCTTAAACTAGGACCAAACTGCTATCCAGTACTCCATGCAGGTTTCCCAATGGTTCTCTAACAGATATCAGTTCATGATGATATTCTCCAACTAATCACACAGTACATTACCTTGAGATGATGCACGCATGAATGTTGATACACGGCACTGTTATATCGCGGTCATCCAACTTTATAGCAAACAAAAAGAAAACTAATTGACTTTTTTTTTTTCAGTGACTTCACAAACGATCACCTTTTGTCTAAAACCTCCCATGATCTATTTGACGTACAAAGGTCGTAGAAAGTGACGATAGAAATCAAATGCACAGTTCACTGATAGTTTATTTAAAAAGTTCGAAAAACTCTCAGATACTGATTGACTAGATGTTTAGTTTATATTCGTTTAACACAGTTATCACACTCGACATGAATAATAATTCTATCTAATTAAATGGTGTTATGGTACATTCCCAAGGCATCTTGAGAATGCAGTCTAATCACAAGTTGGTGAAATTCACTTATAAAATGTCAACTGGCAAATTATCGTTAGAAAATTTTCATTTGATACTCTTCAAAACACTTATGTTTTCACCACTCATTACGTCATAAATTTTACAAGATAATCTAAACAACTAAGCATATATTTCTCAATTTGAAGAGAAAATAGATATGAATACAGACAGAATTTGTTATTAGTATTACTAACCTGTAATCCTTCTATATGTGTATTATTACTTGAATCATTACTATCATGTTTCAAAGTTTCCGGATACAGTAAAGCACTAGCCAATTCTGAAGTAGTTGTACTGGTCATAAAACCAGCAAGATGTACACCAACTCTAATATGCTTAACTATGTATGAAGCATTTGGTTGACTCAATGCTAAATCCATATTTAAACCGCTGTATACCCAGAGGAGAAGAGTTTCAGTGACAGCTAATTAGGAGGAAAACAAAAGATTATGTGAATTAGTTAGTTACTGATATAAGGATGAAACTTGGGCAATGTGTTGGTAGAGTAAAGTTCCACTATGTATAGAATTTTATTCTGATAAAATCACACAGTGTTATATAGTGTGAGCACAATTCATTGCTCATAATCATATCAACGCAATCACATAACTTTCTGGCTGCATTTATATAATTCCATTATTTTTCATCGCTTGACTTGATTGGCAGTAGTATTTTACATATTTCCGGTATGAGTGATGAGTCCTTGCTATTGCGCGTGTCGGGTGTAGATTCTATGAACAAAGATTCAGTATTCGACCTCTCTCCATCTCAACCTACCTATATTACTTCTAGGAATTTCGACCCTCTCCCATCCTATTGTGTGGTTGTGTGTTAATGCAAGTAGTGCGATTGCTGAGCTTTTTTCTAAATTACTTATCTTCGCGGATGGGTTCAATCATTCGAACCTTAGCTAAATTCTTATGTTCTGATAATCTCACTACTCCTGTCCTACTAGTTTGATCTATGTAGTTAACTTAACTCACAGTCATTACAAGGTATTTTGTAAATTATATTATTTTGTGTAATCGGGTCAACCGACAGTGTCCCTTAACCTACACAGCTTGTCCTATCTGAGTGAGTTTGTAGGTTTGAATGCCCCGACCCTCTAATTCCTGCTTTGCTCATGTATATAAATCAAGCAAAAAAGTTATGTAAGTACCTTGATATAATTATGAGCAATAATTTGTGCTCGAAACGTGGTCATCAGTAAATATTACTGTACAACAGTGTATGATTTTAGTTAATTACTAGTCAATTGCCCAATACTGGATTGTACAATAAAAATATAATTGCCAAGGAATGACATATGTACAAGACAAGGGATTTGGATAGGTACAGAAGACTTTTAAATACCTGAACTTGAGCCTACTGGTTAAACATCCGAAATTTAACACCGTACACATGAATACGATGAAATGTTTACAAATGATCCGTGTGTCTAAGAGACTTTCCGTTGGTTGTTTTTTCAGATGAACATCAGCTTTTCCTGAAGGAATAAGCCGAATAAGTACTAGGTGTCTTTCTCTTTCGTGATTTTTAAACTTTAGCTCAAGATTTCAGTAACTAAACTTAACGAATCTAATTCGCAATTAGTTAAATCATACAGTTAAAGGTTAGATTTCACCCACTGTTGAATGAGTCAGTACACAAATACTCGTACCAAACAAACAATCAACCAATCAATAAGTACTATATGCCATCATACATCTAAGCTTATCTTTGGTAATATACAAACAAGTATATCAAATTCATCATCTAAGTCTACACTAAGTACTTACGCGTAAATTTGAATATATGACAGATTAATTTAGCTTTGTATGATGGCGCTTCAAATGACACTGCACTCAGTGAGATTTACGCGCAATACAGTAATATCATCAACCTTTAACAATAGACGTAATTCATTATCGAATGCAAAGAGGTAAGCTTGACTGTACGTTACAGCACAGTACACATTGCACGACACAAGTGAATTATGCAAACTCGTCATCAGAATAGAAAATATCAGATGTTTTATTCTTCTTACACTTAGTATGTGAGAAATTAGCAGAAACGTATCTAAAAAGGCTAAACACTTTAGAAGATGAACACACAGTATAAACTATGGTTTTGTCTGATGGATTAATAGTGGACTAACAGTGAAAACCAAGATGTGCATTTCATCAAACTTGGGACCCATCACCTAGAGCAATGGTGTGTCTCCACTGAGCTTCGAACCTAGCGCCTATCGTTCCAAACGACAAAGAGTTATCCACTAAGTCACTAGCACAACAGCAGCCACCTCTTGCGCAACGAGTATCAATCATTATTTGTCTAATCTATTTTTTTTTATTTCCCGTTGATTGATTTTATTGGACTAAAGTATTCGGTCTCTGAAGAAGCAGGTAGTGAGCGGTCTAATGGATAACGCTTTAGAGCTTCAAACATTAGGATTTGGGGTTCGAGTCTTGGGGGAAACATCATCACTCACTGGGAATGCAGGTGTATCTGGCTGGTGAGTTTCAAATAAGACGAAAAGCGCATCCTGGCTTCCATTGCTAGTCACCATCCAATGAATAACATGTAATTCCCCAGACGATGATGAAACATGTGTACTAAAAGTCCACATATCAACAGAGAAAGAATATTTCCGTCCAATATAATCAACTAACGGCTGATCAACTAAGGGCTGATCTCAGTAACAAGACATAAACCAGTTCTTTACACACTGCTGTACTCAAATTCTTACGCCTTTTAAACAGTACAAAGAGTACAAAGTCTTTAAGGAGGAACCTAGACTCATTATCATTAGATTATTATTCCATCACGTTTCGAGTGGAACATACGGCTTCAATAGCACATCTTCATTTCATCCTGCCCTCTGCAGTCGTCTTTAGCTGGCTCCACGAATGCCCATAAGATATCATCTCCTCCTTACACGAACCCAAGCCAAGCTCTCCGTTTCCCCATCCATATTCTACTTAACGACCTAGCGCGGAATGTCTCTCAATGGTTTCTTCAGTACGTGTCCTTTCCATATCTATTACCCTCTGAATATTTGTTGGTTAACAATTTCTTGGTTAGTTCCTTGTTGCTAATCCTTTCTGGCCCGCTATTTGATCTTCAATATGGAACGAAGGTGGGTGGTGTTACACGCTCGAAGCCTGTTCGAAATGCTTTTGGTGACCACACATGACAATTCCTTCAACACTATAGAAGCACTGACTTGGCTTACGTGTTGAAGGTTTGCATCTTGTTCTTCATGCTAAGCGCAGAAGATTTCCACATTTATTTCAGAGTAGTCGAGGTTTATCTTGCTTTACAGGTCACGCCTGGCTTTGACATCCTCAACTAAGCAGTCGTATGCAGTTAAAATGAGGCCGTCTGGATAACTGAAAAGATTTATTTTAAATTTCTCCTACTGATAGTGATTGGTGCTTGTTATTGTTGCTGGTCACCAAGTATATTAACCGCCTCTGTCTTCTCTGTGTTCACTTGTCTTCGACTCGTCGATCTTCGAGTTTGTGGGACATTAAACGTGAATAGTCTGTGGAGTCCAAATCTCATAGAGTCTTCTTGTTGGCCCGACGTACTCCTGTCTTCACGCCCGCCACAGCTTGCTGCATGTTCCAGTCAATGACAATTAGGAATACCATCGACGATAGTATCCCGCCTTGTCTTAAGCCTGTCTCCACTTCAAAGTTATCTGAGTTCCCTGCTGTGAATTGTCCGACACCTGACATCATTATACAGCTGTTGAATTACGTTCATAAAGGTTTGGAGTACTCTGTAGTACTGGAGTAGTTTCCAAATCACTTCGCTGTCGACACTGTCAAAGACATTTTAAAAGTCGATGAAGCTAAGATGAAGATTCGACTGCTAATCTATGCTCTGTTCGATGATGATACGTAGAGTTCCAGTTTAATCTGCAAATAACTTGCTTTTCCTGAATTCAGCTTGTTCCGAGAGGAGTCTTGCATCAACAGCATCTTTTAGTCTCTCAAAGATGACACGGTTTAATATTTGCTTAAACCTAGAATAAAACCTGTACACTCAAGGATTTCAGATAAAACTTTTTAGATTAATTTTCTAACGCAAATTGTTTTAATAAAGTAAACTGTACCTTGATATAGATTTCGGTCAGTACAGTATAAGAAGGCCAGACCTTGAGGCAAATGAGTGCTAATATTTTCAAGAGAATCAATCCACCTAAAATAAATTATTTAATAATGAAATATTCATTACTGCCTAGAAACAAGTATATATTTGTACAAGGCAGAATCTTATAATACTCAAGGACCTAAGCACATGCAAATGTCTCATTCAGTTGAGGAACCTTGTAACGCAGGAACAGAATAACAGTAGTTCTATTCAAAGTGTCACCTTGTAGGAATGTGACTGGTTTCAAGTTTGATCGGGGCTTGATATCAGTTGGAGAAAAACTGAAAACCGAGGAGTACTGGAAAGCTATTTCGTCCTAGTTTGGGATTCTTTATCAATATGCACCCACGACTTCATCGGGGATTAGGCTTGGGACTCTGGGATTAGAAGGCAGGCTCGTTGACCACTCAGTCACTGAAACAGAATCTAGTGACTAATTGATAAATTCTAACTTTTGTCAATAAGCGATTTCATTTAATATTGAATACCTTAGTGTTAATGTACCTACATTATCACGTATTGCCTCTACTAGCAATTGTTAATCAGCTCTCTCCTAAATTGTTGGTTAAATGTTCACAATCAAATATCAGTGGCTCTATTGAAACTCATAATTATATTCTTCGCCACGCATACGTTTTTGTAGAGATTCAATAACTTCAATCCTTAAGACAAACATAAGTTAGATAAAATTTGAATATTTTTCAATTCAAACGATATAAGCCACTTATTTCACTAGTTGGGTATGCTTCAACTAAAACTGCTGCTGCAGACACGTTTAAGGTGACGGATCTAAGGTGTGATTCGTTTTCATAAAGCTTTCAACTAGTGAATTATGGGTTCATATTCCAACAGACTTTTGTTCGAACCATAAATTACAAAGAGGTGAATTGTAATGATTGTTTTTTTCTTTTCATATTCATAGGCCATTAGAAAGTCCCCTATTTCTGCCTCATGATCTTGAGTTGCCAGACTCCCATGGAGCATACAAAGTAAACAGAAGAGAGAAAAGAGGTTCGAAAGAAATGTGCAGGTGAATGAATAACAACATGGACAGTATGATGGGCAGTTTAGTGGATACAAGCGACCACAAAGAATGAATGCATCTGCGCCAGTGAATTATATCACCAACAGGCTAAAGTCATTGATTTTTAGCATCCCGACGACATCAGACAGGTACACCTCCCCACACCAAATAGTCGACGAGGAAGGTATGAGTTACACGTGTCTTAACCATTTCAGTCGAATTAACTTTACATCTCAATATTACAAGTTTCTGAAACAGTTTCCATTTTTAAAAGTGTAATAGCTACCGGTCTAACGATGCAGACTAATAACAGCAACCATATGTTGCATATGTCACTATTAAACAATAAGAATCAATGCAAAGTAGTAAAAGGTAAAATCAAATCCTACGTCTATAAAACGTTTTCACTTATGAAACAGTTCTACGCAAACCACGAAAAGGATTTGTACGCATTAACAGTAGAAGACAACTTTTTCAGAGTAATAAATAGAGTAGATAAATAAATATACAATCAAACGCTTGAAACGTTATGAGTGATGAAAGTGATATATGTACAGAAAGAGAGATAGAGAAAGCGACTTACTCTTCATGAAATCCTGCAGCCGATAAAGAACAGTATTTCTTTGTCATCTCAATGAGGTACTCTGCAGACTGATTTGCATCCGCCCAGTCATCAGGTGGTGGTAATAGGTTTAAATTCGATTCTACTTCCAGTTCATCAGAATTTCGATTAAACGCCTCATTTTCAGCAAACAATTGATCTTTATCAGAGACATTTTGTTCCAATAGCCAACAATGAAGCTAGTCACACAAATGAAACAATAAAACATTAACTAACCTGTTAGTTATGGCGTATAATAAGAGGATTTGTTGTTTAAGACTACACTACATGAGCAGTATGCAACATTCTACAATACTCACTAGTATTATCTTTTTTATCGTTATTCTTTTACAAAACAAGTTTTATTTTATTTTTACCACTTTTACGTCTGTTATTATCTTTGTCTTCGCAAGCTGTATACTCTTGTTTGGAATCCCAACCTTGTACTATTTTAAGTCCCTAGACAACCGGGTTTCTGAAATCTAGTCTTCAGCTGGATTACTAACAGCACATAGAGCACAGCGATACATATCAGACGACAGACAAGCATATCCAGAAACCTTGCAAGACATTCAATTGATGTATGATGTATCTCAAAGATCTGTATAAAAGATCATAGTGATGTGCTACAAATAAATTCTCTGCGTATTAGATCTAGATGTACTTGTGAGAGGACCATAGGACATCCGTGTGTGGCTAGGCTGGTATCAGTACCACACTGAGAGCTATAGCCGAAGCTACATTGCTTGAATGGATCTCCACTAAAAGTTGTTTATTTTCTGTTAAGTTAGAAGGCCACATAAATGTAAGACATAAGAAGTCATAGAAGCGGTATCTTTTTGTCAACTTTGCCTAAGCAACCGTCATGCAATCAAACGAGTGACTTCCACGTGGTGCCAGCTGGAGACCTGAATGCATAAGTCAAGGTTTTAGTGTCAAAGAGTCACTCAAGTGAATGGATCAAATATTGGGGGCCATCTTCTCAACTCCTTGCAGTTTACAACCTATGTCTAATCAGTACTAACTTGAGGCACCCTCGTGATCGTTCTGTAAACCCCGTTTCACTCATGATTACATTCACATAGACCATAATGTCATCAGCCAACAATGACGTGGGTTTATTCATACACAACTGGCACTCCTTTTGAAGCATTCGCCTGGATTCTCATAATGCTGTAACATGGGCTAGGTTTCTCTTGCACTTTTTAATCATCATGAATGTCACTTCAAACAAACGCATGTTATTTGGTTGTAACTACTACTTGCAATTAAACACTGTACTAACTTAGATTCAAGGAAACCTGTTTACCCTTCAGGATATATAGATGAACATTGACTGAATTTACAAAAAAAAATCATTAAAGATGGCAAGTAAAACCCCGTGTGGTCAGAAAGAGAGTCCATGACGAACATCATAATTCCATGACTTCCTTGCAACCCTATGAATACCGATGATCCCTTCTAACTTACAGTAAACAGGGTAACCTATGCAAGCCTCCAACACAAGGTAAAACAAGGTTTACGTTGGGCCTAGTGATCAGAACATGCATATGGTGCGGATTGTTATTTAAAATTGTATGTTAGAGACTGCTATCATTGAGAAATTTCTGAAATCTCCATAAAAAATCACATCAAACAGAGTAAAGGAATACAATCACGTATCAACAACTGTGAACCAGAAATGTCATCAGAAGAAAACTAATGAACTTTGAAAATTCAGATAACACACAAGCTACTAAAACCTTAATTAGTCAGCCGACTACCAGTGTCAATAAGTGCGATGTCTGCATAGTATTGTTGTGAGAGTCCTCGATCGAACTAACCCATGCGGATGAACTGCCTGAAGTAGTCTAAAAGTTAGTGGATTTAGTTTTTGTGTTAGCGCTAGAATAGGTAGCGTACAAGTGTACAGCAAAAGTCACAGTGGCATAAGCCAATCTATATGGCCTATCGCGCAGTCGTAGTGTTAGACTGGTTGTCGAATTTACGGTTTACAACTCCTCTATGTACACATTCTACCTGGTAAATTTGGTGTCTCTCAGATGAGGTTATGTGACAAGCTCGTGCACTCAATCATCACTTTCCACATAGAACTATTTACATCCACTCGTATTAAAGTGTAATTCATTCTGAAATAGGACAGCATTTATTTGGATAGCTTTTCGATAAGTGCTCCCATAGTGTGACTTCAATATGTGTTACAATTCTCACGGTAATATTTCCATAACATTCATTGTTCACTTACTCTGTGAGTGGTTGAAAAAAGTAAAACCATGATGTGATTCCATGATATAAAGGATGATTGTTTTGCGAGAGCACCAGTCACTGCATCACGGCTCAGTGGACGGTGTTTCATTGATCATGCAACTTAGTGGCTAGAGTCCTCTGAAATGTAGTCAATATCGGACATGCTATTGCAAATTCCTTTTTCTATCTACTTCAAAAAGTAATATGAAGTAATCAAAGCTCTTTTTAGTGTTTCTGGTTAATGTGTTCACATTTGACACTTTCTTGCTTAATTATTTTGTCTCCTTTTCTTATGCATTTCATCTGGATTATTTTGTGTGGCGAATTTTGTTTTGAATAAAAGTATCGGTTTTGTAGGGATTTTGTTTGATTGGTTGGAGGATTTCATCATGATCTAACATCTTTTAGAGAACCAGTGGGAAACCTGAGGGTAATAAACAGCTGTTTCGTCCTAGTTCCGGACTCTTTGAGCCCCCGATGGGGTGCATACTGATGAAGAGTTCTAAGCTAGGACGAAACAGCCGTTCAGTAGTCTCAGGTTTTCCAATGGCTCATGATGAAATCCTACAACCAAGTGAATAAAAGTAGTTTAATAAAGATTAAGTAATCTGTTTTCACAACCAAATACATCTATTATTTAGCGATATAATTAAATTAACTAAACAATGGTTAGGATGGATGAAAACAAATACTGATAGTTAATAAAACAGTCAGGAAGAACCAGTACCTATCAATAGGACTATCTACTAAAAACGCTTTAAAAAATAAACTACTATATATAGATACATATACATATACTATATGGAACTAGCAAAACATCTAGAAAGTGAACAAGCTTTAAAACGTATAATATTTCGATTGGCAAAACACTGAGCCACCGGTTAAAACGAAACGAAAACGTTGTGAAATGAAATTGAAGACTTTATTTATTACTGCTTACCTCGAATAAGGTGATTGTGGGATCTGCGATTCTACGAAAGTCACAAGAGAATACATTAGAATACTGATTTATTAAATCAAATGGATTAAAACGCCATTGATAGGAGGAAATATGAGATTCAATCTCCCTAATTTCTTCGATATCTGACTGTTGATCGCCAATCTAAAGACAAAAATTACAAAAAAACATACTCGGTTTCAGAGTTTAGAACAGAAAAGTTAAGAGAATAACATTCATACTTAGCACTATAAATAACCAATTCTTACTGTTATAATGCTAGAAATACCGGACACTACTAATCATGATTTTTCCAACTAAGGACGGTACCTTTATCAACAGATGACTGGAAAAGTACAACACATGAAATCATATAAAGCCTGATAATTAATTCAACATTGCAAATTTGATCAGTTAGAGAAACAACGATTGAGAACCAGGGAGTACTAGACAGCCGTTTCGTCCTAGCTTTGGATTCATAGGCTGTACGCAGTACCTACCGGGTTTCGAACCCAGGAACTCCTGGTTACAAGGTAAGGTCGTACACTATTCAGCTACTAGGACTCAACTCATTGGTCCATGAATTCTAACTTCTACCAATTCGTGATTTCAGTACCAGGTCCGACCGGTTGTAGGGGAAGATACTCGCCGATGACATTGGCTGGTTGTCACGCTAAAATCGCGAATTGATAGAAGTAAGAATTCATGGACCAGTGAGTCGAGTCCCGATCTACGAGCTCACCTTGTAACCGGAAGGTCGTGGGTTCGAAACCCGGTGGGTGCGTACTGCCTATGAATCCAAAGCTAGAACGAAACAGCTGTCCATTACTCCCTGGTTCTCAATTGCTATTTCTCTAACTGATATAAATCCGTGATCAGACTTGAAACAAATCAAATTCCTACAAATAAACGCCTGGAAATACTAAGACAGTGATCGAAATTTCAGCCCGTGTATTCCAACAAAACAGTCTATACTGTTTTTCTCCCAGGCACTTTAAAGGGAAGCTGTCATGTAGTGTGCAGGAAAATATTAGACGTTATTTTTACACCTATCTCTTAGATCAATTTTTCTCTGCTGTCCCTACAGTGGGAACTAATGTTTGACAGAATAAAACATCCCACTGTCTAAAGCTTCAGCACCCAATACGCCTAGTAGTTATTGCCTCTAGGAAGCATAAAGAAAACTAAAATGAGGCGCGTGAGGAAAACGTTGTCACTATATTTTAATCCAGATATATTCGCTAGTTTAAATATTTATATAAATCCTGATACATAAGCTTTCTAGAGAGTACCTTCTTTGAATACAAGCTAGAGTACTACTATAGGAAGAAGGATGGAAATTTAATGATACATAATATACACACAGATTCACTAAATATAGTTTACTCCATCACTGAAATTTACGGCTTTAACCTAAATTTAACTTCAAACACTTACTGGCTAGTTGTCAGTGCTACTGTATTTACAAGTTCCTTTTCCTTTACCTACTCAAAATTTGAAATAATTGAGATTTTTGATTAAAGATTAGGATGCAAACTGTTTGATGTCAACCCCTTTACGGTTTTAAGTTGTGCTATACAATCATCTATCCTAAAGAACAATTGAATGGTGGTCTATATCTGATCCACTTATTGAATTAAAAAACGCAAAGCTCAGCATAAGAATGTAGCAGTTTAAGCTGCCACACTAAGGTAAAGAAAAAAAAACTTCAGAGGAACTAAAATGGACCGAAATCTAGGGAAGAAAGAATAAGTATATGGAGAATAATGAGAATTTGATGGATTTGCGAATTCATAGAAAGTGAATACGTCTATACCATTGGCAACGATTTAGAAGCATGTCATCAACAATCTGCAACCATTCGTTTTAAGAGTTTCAAGGACGCCAGCTAGCTAGGCATGCCCCTACGTGGCTGGTCCAAACCAAAGGTCAAAGACTTCATTGGTTGATGTCCGGTTGGGATTCGACTACACATAATACTTTTGTAACATGATTCTATGTCAGCTAGCACTACCCACTGAAGAATGCAATGGATCAACATGCGCGAAAAGTCCCTCACGCCATCTCAATCTACTTAGCTTCACAACTGCATCGATTGACATGCCATCTATACCTACCCCTCTAAGCTTACCCTCAATATTACTCACCATATTATACCACTCAATACGGGAGATAGAACACAAACGTCTGAAGCTAAAGACAGCTAACCGTTCCATATCTTCCACTTTAATAACTATGCCTCATAACCATAAAGGAGGATAGAGAAACATCACACAATTCCATTTTATTATAACTACTGGAAACAATAAAAAACGGTCTAACTGATAACGTAGTTCAGTCTTTCAACTTTATTCCACCTTAATACATCGTTAAGACGAATGCATGGACAAATTTATGTTAAGACTGTACACAGAATATTAAGATAAGATAATTGCTTACCTCTAGATTTTCACCATCTTCTATTTCTGAAAACAATTCTTCATTTGACGATATTTCCTCGTAGTCAACATCCTATGAAAAGATGAATGGAATGATAAGCCTTAAAAACTTTAAAGATTAACTACTGTTAGTGGACATACGATATCGATATAAAACCATATATTTACTATTAAGCCACCTGGGTTACCACATCCAGCATCTTAAAAGTAATCAAGGGATAATCAGAAGAACGAATAACCAAAGACTATCGATTCATAAAATTCATGTCACATTAATGAATCCGATCGGTTTCACAAAAAGCAGTAGGTAAAGTATTGGGCAACTTTGTGCCATTTTGACTGGACAATAGTGAGATATTTTCATTTTAGTGCGGAATGCTCTACGAGCTAATTGCCTTTAACCTTCATATGTGAATAAGATCTCTGGGATATATTTTGCGATTGGATACTCTGGATGAAGGTAATATACGTGTCCTGTTCATCCGACACATGTACTTTGGCATGTACGTGTAAATTGAAGCAAAAGTCTTCAGAAATGCAACCGCTCGACAATTGATACACAGTGGCCATAAAACTGATGTTTCAAAATCATTTCAGATAAATAAAGTCTTGATTGGTTTCGGCTGACTATGTATTGCTGAACTGTAAGTCATTTCACAGTTGCCACAAAACTTGTGCATTCAGACAGTAAACTTAATAGTTGGAACTGTATTCAAATGTGCCACTCAGTTTATAGAACAATCACTATATGATGATTTAGTCCCACGAATGAATCCAACAAATATTTTAGTCTGTATACTTCTCACATCTAGGAAACAAAAGACGACAGTGCCGACTGGTATCGAAATGATGTGCTGACAAGTCCGTCTGCAGGAAAATGGAGAGGCTATCCTGTTTTTTTATGGTAGGGTTTATGTTATGTCAGAAGAGGGTTTCCAACGTAACCAATAAAGGATTAATGGTTTCAAAGTTGTCACATATTGTGTAAGCCATTTTTAAAGACAGACACAGTAACCGTTTCATTACGCATTCCTCCCTTACACCTTCCTAAACAGTCCATTGACCATAGTTTCGCTTCAACCTTTATGAAAAGTCGTTGCTAAACTGTCTGGACGAGATGCCTCAAGAAGCTTAAGTACTTTATTGTTCCTTTCAAACAAGTATGTACTGTTGCATACATAGTATAGAAAATCAAAACAAGTGATTCAGCGAAGAGACTCTTTTCAACGAATTTATCATCAATCTGTACAGGCGTATATATATGGTTTTTAAGAAGTTATATCCGGTGAGGGAATTGAATCTTAGGTGTAAATGCATAAAATAATAATAATAATAATATAAAGTTCAAGTCCGGTTGCTTGCCACCCGTATTCGACGCATATGTAGCACTGATACTGTGGAAGATGAGTTATACACTTTGAGGAAAATCCTAATGGAAAATGGATTTCCATCACGTTTTATGGATAAGAATATACATTCAAAGCCTACAAAACGTGACTTATCAACCGTACCCAAGAAAATACTTTACATGAGCTTGGAATTCAAAGGGGACTTAGCTTCCGATATCATGAAACGAAGGATATCACAGTCTCCGAAAAGAACATTCCCTGCTACATCTCTGAGAATAGCCTTTACTAGCCGACCATTATTGTTCAATAACCTGAAGGACAAGATCCCGCTGTTGACCAACTCTATATGCGTTTATCAATTCACCTGCTCTTGTGGAGCTAGATATATCGGTCGTTCGACTCGAGTTTTGTCCAAGAGGGTGCAAGAACACTATCCTGCATGGCTACGAAAATGTGGAAGTGGAGCAATAAGACGCGCGATCATTGGACATCTGGTCGATAATGATCACCCTATCTCTATAACCTCCGCCTTTAAAATCATCTACAAGGCAAAGAGTAATTTACCCGAATCCCTACGTACCCGACTGATCTATATTGCCGAAGCCATCTTTGGCTATCGAAACAGAAAAGCCAGATCTCTGTGTACAGAAAAAGTTCGTTCAACCCCTCCAACTTTCATGGTCTTAATCCCTCTATGCTAAAATATGGTAATCCCCAATCATATTTTAGCTCTACCAATTTTTCATTTTGTCTATTCAATTTGTATACTCTTCCTTATTAAGTCAATTGTTAGTACTATCACTATTCTCACTTTGAACTGTACCCGGTATTATTACACTTGTTCCACTTGTCATTCTAAATCAATTCTTTTTTACAACGATAAATTCTATACTATTAAATTTCACACAATATTACATAACGTTTTTATTTTATTCGATTTGTCTACTAATCCTGTAATTGCACACCCTTTTCCAAGTTCTATCCATCCTATGAATTATTCTATATATGACATTAATTTGCTTTACCACTTGACATTTAACTACGATTATAATCACCAACATTTTAGTTTTAATTGAACTTCATATGATTATTATTTTATGCATTTACACCTAAGATTCAATTCCCTCACCGGATATAACTTCTTAAAAACCATATATATACGACTGTACAGATTGATGATAAATTCGTTGAAAAGAGTCTCTTCGCTGAATCACTTGTTTTGATTTGCTATATGGGAATTTTCCATGAGTATCCATAGTAATCAACCCGGTCTGTCTGTCTGGATTCAACATAGAACTTGGCACCGAAGTGCACCAGTTCGAGTTGCCACGTTCCAAATAGCACACAGAGGTAGACAAGAAGATGAGTGGAGAGAATTAATAGAGTTTGACAAATATAGGAGTGAAACAGAATGGGTAATGGTAGAAAGGAATATGAAAGATTACAGAGATTGAATACATCTGCGCCCGGTGCTATGAATTTGAGAATATTGAAGGTCTAAGCCAGCTAAGCAGTTTTCAACACTCAGTTTAGTGAGAATCAGATATGGATTACAAACAAAGTGTAGAGTGATGATGTTATAGTTCCTTTGCCTGTTCATGAAATGTGATGCATACTCCCTTAAACGTGCTCCATGATAACACACCTGATCAAATTGCTACAGAAGTTGTATTTCTGTGCAGAAATCATCTCTGCGTACCCATATTTGTATTTGTTTAAGTAACTCTTTATAAAAAAAACAGTCTTCTAGCTTCACACCTAAATAAGGTGTAGAGAAATATACACTAATCACAAATCTATGTGCACGGCATAAGTCGACTTCATTTATTCTAAAAATAACTTGGCTTAATGCAATATCTGTCGATTAAGGCGTACGAAATGCTGAATAAGTAAAATAATCGAGCTTAGTGTATGATGCAGAAAACAACTTTCCCTAAAGGTGATTTCGAAGTCTTCGGTTGCTTCGTTCCATTTTTACTTGTCACAGTAAAACATTTGAAGTCATAGAAAAAAATAACAACAAAAGCAAAATCAAAACTCAAGAACCACGCCAAATTAATCCAATAGGTCCTCAAAATCTTAATATTGAAAGTTGAAAGTCGATGACTAGTGTGGTATTATTCGTGCAATACTCTAGCATTTATAGCTTTTGTTTGGAATGACTATATAAACGAATCGACTATTTTGACTACACTGTATCACTAAAGTGAACAATTCATATAAACTAACCTGTATCTCACCGTCCTCATATAGAACAGCAGACTCTATGTTCATTGTCTTTTGATCATCTACTTTTTCCTCTAAATCCGCTTCTGTGACAGGATGAACAGAAGATAATTCGCTTTCAGGCTGCAATGAACACGCATTCAAGGACTGAGATTTCATATAACTCTCCGTTGGATTCGTTTGTGCATGATATTGCTGCCAGTTATTCGGAACATCAGGCTAAAATAAAAGGTATAATTTACCTATAAATCAATAAAAATCTAGATGGTGTAAAATATTTCTTAAAAATGCTATAGTCGCAAGGAATGAAATTCATAGTATTGCAGAAAAGTGTGCAATCAACGAGTGCCTGAACTTGTATGTATAGCTCTGAATTCAATAACAACTAAAGTGATGGAATACCTCTTAATCTAATCCCAAAGATTCAGTACTGGTACATAAACCATAATGATACATACAAAATAACTCCGAATATCATATACATATATGTATATGGATCCATGAGCTACATAAACACATTTCGGTAACGCAGTCTAATGAATTGCAGACAGGCAAATGGTAAGCCGATTTTCTACAAATAATATGATAGGAGGTAGAGGGATAGGATCAACTCGAAACCCTCCTCTTGGACAGTAGTGCGTAGCGGAGTGCCATCAGACACAGTACTCGGACCTTTCCTATTTATTTTGTATAGCAATGAGGTATCTGTGACAACCGATTCCCTCATGGTCCTATACGCAGATGACTTAAAAATCTGGAGAGTGTTCAAGGGCAACAGTGATACGCTCACGTTGCAAGAGGACCTCAACAAATTGTCAGAGTGGTTCAGAGAATCGACGCTTCCAATCAATGTAGCGAAATGTGCAACTATGCGTATCGGATATGCAAGCACCAGCTACTACGAACTAGACGGAATAACACTCCCATCAGTTCAGACTCATTTAGATTTCGATGTCATAGTAAGTCACGAAGTAAAAACTACAGCACAGTATTGCGCTGTGGCTGCAGATAGTTTCAGATCCTTACGTGCAAATAGCAGACTTTACTAGAATCACAAGATATATGTTCCCCTCAAGACTGAAATACTTTATCCAGTCAGCCAATCCTTGTCTCAAAGGGGACTCACATATTCTAGAAAGGGTTCTCGGCATGACTAATTCATCATACGAGGAAAGACTAGACAGTTTAAATCTCTTCTGCCCGTCATACCGTAGGCAGAGAGGAGATTTAATCACAATGTTTAAAATGTTTTAAATAATGACTACGGACCTGACCTATTCTATCTTTTCCTTTCCACCAGGTCGGAACACCTTAGAGGACATAGCAGGAGAGTTCAAAAGCCAGGAAGAAATCATATTGCTGTTGAATACTGGTTCTCACACCGAGTCATAAACTCTTGGAACCGACTCCCAGAAGAAGTGGTATCTGCAAACTCAACTGATTTATTCCAGAATGGTTTGGAAAAGCACAGAAATTTACTGGAAAAGGATTAACATAGGCTCCAAGCCTTCTATCTTCAACCAATAAATCTGAAACGACTAGTAGTACCTAGTAGTGACTCTCTTTAAGACTAGGAAAACCTATACGGTGTGACTGGATAAGCTTTAAATTATTAATATTAGCAAAAAAAACCATGATCAGGCTACCAACTAACCTTTTGTTCAGCTTGAATTCCTGGCACTTTATTAAGATTGTAATACCCTGAGTTAGCTGAATTTAACGTAGAAATTGTAGTAAAGCACACATACCTGCTTCGACTGTCCCAGTATTTATCCCAACTGTGGGAGGTGGGATCGACAGATTAGTGGCCGGAGCTAGTGACTGAACAGGTACAGACACAGCCGGAAAGCCGAAAAGAGCAACTGTCAGGGTAGAGTACACACCGCGGAAAAGCAAAAAGTTAGAGTGTAAGCTGTTTTCGAAATAAATTGTGTTAATTCCAGTTTTTTCATTAAAATGGTATCTGGAAGTTAAAATATAGGGGAAAGGGAAGAACTCACTTAGCAACATTTTGTAGGACAATGCAATTAGTTCGACTGTTACTGTATACCTTCATATCGAAAGAAGCCGGATTGGTAGCTCTATTTGAGTTACGTTTATTATTATAATTATGAATTACCCCAAAAGTGGTTCATCAGATAAGTTACTCTCAACAACTGACCCAAATGGAAGAATACATATCTTCACTAATTCAACTCCACTCTTAAACCTGACACAATCTATACTTTCCTGAATCAGTTATCTCTAATATCTGTCAAAATTTTACCTTGTTTTGCCCATTATGAACGAAAGTATCAAAAAAGACAATGAATGGGTTTGAAGACATCTTAGAACCAAAAGTAACGTCGCGTTTAAGTCTCCCGCGCCATAATTAACGTAATTTATTGATTGTTTATGGAAGACTGGAAGAAGATGTTAATCCTTTTGCGATAATGCCTTTGCCTCCCTAGATCCTTCTTCGAAGGTTTGGTTAGCGGGGTGAGGATATAGGCTGACTCACATGATGTTGGCGGCATAATGTACTTTAACTGCGTTGCATTTGCAGCACTCGCGTCACAAAATGTCACTTGATGCTGATATCTGCTCAATATGATGGGGTAAATAAGGTCGGAATTTAAGTGTGTATTTTTAAACTGTCATGGAATCATACTGGTATATTCCGTCTATTTATTGAGACTATTGTCTCAATTGGTTTTGTAGTTGTTGGTATTCATAACTCAATTTTAGCATAGATTTCAGTTTCCATGTACTCATAACATTTAGCTTTTCATTTTAAGACAAAAAGCATTAGCACTATGGTCATAATATGTAGCATTGTTGCGAACTTGTGTTTCAAGTGGTCTTTATTTTGAGGGAAGATTTAATTGCTATGGTGTTGCGATTTCATAGACGTAACTTAGGCTTATACGTGAAAAAACTTATAACCTTATTTGGAATAAAGATCAGTTGTATAGTAGGTGAGGAAGACTTTATTTTTCAGTTAACTCATATAACTACTATTGCCTATTGGGTTGCATTGCGATTCCAAATGAAGCCAGAGATTATGAATGCCTCGCCGTCTGTTCTGCATAAATAACACTGGAATTACTTCACAAGACTCTCCATATCAAGTTCAGTAAGGACAAACAGAAGTTCTTCCACCTCATTGTACTGAGTCTATCTGTGAACTGTCTAGGCTTTCACAGTAATACATTTGGCAAGGAGACTTCATTTGGAAGTCAAAAGCGTACATGTTTTACCAAATCTTATGCACTTCCTGTATAAATTTTATGCTCATCAAGTGGCCAATTAACAATTGCTGAATGTTGCAATTAAGCTAAAATTATAACTCGTAAATGTAAGAATTATTATCATTTTCACTGGTGGCAGTTCACAGTCTAAAGAGTTCACACAACCACACTGCTCATTTTTAACTTTCCAGAGGATATATTACCTGGGTTTTTTGAGAAGGCAGAAAGTCATTTTGTGAGATTCATGAATGCTGCAGATTGAATGCTAGTCAAGTGGTACTCAAATTAAACTTTGAGGGAAATTATATTTCAACGAACAATGTAAAACAAGGCTCACATCTACGATTGTCGTCTTTAATTCAGTTCAATTTCATCATACATGTTGTCAGTCAAGTCTCATAAACCGTTAATGCCCAGCGCTTGCAGCGCTGTGCCTCACGCTGTTCCTCGAAGATTTTCAGAACAGCTTAGTGTTAACAGACGCAAAAACCAAAACACTGTTTGGCGACTCAATAATTCCTTATTCTAACGCCGACATATAACCAGCAATACTGACATTACAGACTAAAGTTTAAGAACAAATATTAAAACAATAAATCACGACATTACTTCTGACAGTTTTCCATATTACTTCAGCACAGCGAACGACGAGACGATGACTGCAGTATTGATGACGCCCAACAAAAATATACAGAAGATGGATTTGAGCAAACGACCATGCGTCCGTGGCAAAGTGGTTAGGACTCTAGCCAACCATGCACATGGTCCGGGGTTCGAGCCCTCGCGACGTACACCTGATATCCATGGTCGGCCTGCGAATTTGGGGTACCGATATCCACGCTGAAAATCCCATATTTGTACCAAAAATGCGGTGTGGAATCAAACTGTAATCAGAAATAAAAAAATTTAAAAAAATTAAAATAAAATTGATCGTTCAATCTTCAACCACATTGACACATGTGTTGATAGAACTGTCTGTCATTCGATTTTGGGACTTGCCAGGGAACAATTTCGTCAACTGAGAATATGGTGATGATATTGCCCACCTAGGTTGTGGGAGGTAAAAATTGAATCCGGGAGATATGGAAATAATACTGATGTTTGATGGTAGGTGTCTGTTCTCGATCTCCTGTGTTAAGTAGTATAATACTGTGGGTAAAAAAGAGGTCAAACATAGAGAGTCAGGTAGAGATGTCACTCCAGATCATTGACAATGTCAGTCACGTCTCGTAAACCGTCAATGCCCAGCTCTTGCTACGCTGGGACTCACGCTGTTCCTTGAAGTCTCTCAGAAACGCTTAGTAATAACGGACGCAAAAACCAAAACACCGATTGCCCACTCGAGAATTCTTTATTGTAACACCAACATATAAAAAATGTTACCACTAAGGTCTGTGAACAAATATTACAATAATAAATCACAATATTACTTCTGACGGTTTGCTACTGACTTCTTTCTGAACAGCGACCGATGAGACGATGACTGTCGTATTGATGCCTCCGCGAAAATTGGGGAAGTTGGTTTTGAGCAAACAACCATGAATTGATCGTTCAATCTTCAACTACATTGACACTCCCCGGCAAAAAAGGATCCATTCCTTTTTTCCATCACGACCAATACACGTTGACTTGGATGCCATTGCGAGAACCTGGGTCACTCGGACAGAGCTGAAATGGAAAACAAACAGAAAAGCCAACACACCACAAGCATACTCACAGCACAATCTCACACATCAATGACGACCTCCGCCTTCCAGTTAAAGGTGTTCTCTTTACATCTTACAACACAATCTCCACTTGCTAGAATGACTCTTGCAGAATGCAACGTGACCATAGCACCACCTCACGATACTCTACGCACATCCTCTTATCTACTCACTACCAATTACCACTGCAATCGCTTGTCACTCATTCTGCCTCAGTTCTAGTAACGGTGACGTATGCGAGCCTCAGTCGTTTACACTCTTTCTCCCCGGCGTGTGGGACCGCAGCTAACAATTATCTCCGTATGCATTTCATTCTCAGCAATAGCCTCCCCGGCGTATACGACCCATCTGCTGTCTTTAACATCAATCAATTCATTCACGGATGTAGAAGACTCGAAACAACTTCAGAAGTAATCACGACGAAAATTTTAACAAAATTACGCAATAACAACAAGGTACGAAAACAACGAGTAAACACAATGAATCCAAAAACACCAATTGATATGACACACCACTCGTATACACAAACAGTACAAATAACCTCGCGGATCATGTCTTGGTGGAATTCCTTCGAAGAATTGCAGGACTTACACCAGTACGCCTACAACCCTTCACAGGTTGACGATTGTAAGTTGTGGAATGTCCGGACACAAACAAGATTAACCAACAATTACAATAATTGGAACACACACAATTATTTAACACAAACATATGTACAATCAACACATCAAAGTGGTGGATTCTACCTTGACGAACTACCCTTGAAGAACTGTAGGACTTACAGCAGTACGCCTACATTCCTTCTCAGGTTGATGATCCAAGTGGAAGTCGTCCGGACACAAACAGAATTACCAACAGCTAGATGACAGATGATATCAATTCAGTTTATACAATATGAACATATGTACAAAATCACACACCAAGCACATTGGACTGCTCATTGATGCGCTACCCTTTGAAGAATTGTAGGACTTACAGCAGTACGCCTACAACCCTTCTCAGGTTGACGCCCTAGGTTGGAAAATCGTCGCAGAGTTCATTTGCTGATTTCCTTCTATCAGCTATATCCTCAAATCTGAACGGTAACACACTCATGTCATTGTATCGTAGAACATAGATGACGAACAAACACACGACGTATCTGGTCAACCAAGCGTAGACACAGAGTAATTTACACCAAAGATAATAACATTCAAATAGTAACTTGAAACTAGAAATGCCTTTATTCATGCAAGTCAATTTAACAATTACTCTCTCGTTTACACTTGGCTTATCCTCACTAAACTGAGCAATATCTTTCGTCTTTTCAAACGCACCAATACTATCATAGTCATTGCACAAGATACTTGAGTTGATGGGCGTCTTTTCCATTGTGGATGACAACACCAACGACGACTGAGTGACACAAGTTGATGAACTTAGCGGTGGATCAGAAGCTGTTGTTGTTCGGCTTTCAGAAATTTGTCTACATGCAAGACCACCACCACTGCCGTCATTTACTATCAGCTCAGGTTTAGCATTAGCATCTGATGATAGGTGGGCTACATGCTGATCAATCACACTGACGGTCTCACAAGTATGCATGCCTTCTGCAACTGCATTTATTTCTACTTCACGTTGTAGTTGTACAGAACCTTTAATTAACTTAGCAGTAGTAGGCATATCCCTCATCTCATCATGATCAACCAAAGACAAATGTGAAGTATCATGATCATTATCAGGAATATTCAATTTACCATCATCTATCTGGTCGACTTCATCATTTTCAAACTCTTTAATAACAGAAGTAGATGATTTGGTTTCTTCCTCACAAATCCTTAAAGGTTTTATGTCTTCACTCTGACTAGTAATACCTTGTAAACTTGTGGAGTCAGAACTGCACTCTGAAGCAATAACTCTATTCTGTGACACTCTATTCAACAATGGCTTACCAGTTGCAACTACAGACTTCTTCACCGCACCGTTATCGTCACACAATTCGGAGTCAGGCCTGGAGTTTACATTTAGCTTATCACTGAACTTGCTCACTGGTTCACAGTTCACCTTTGTATGCACCTCTTGCAAACGTGTAAAACACAACCGTGTTTGTCTTGCATCTTGTAACTTATCTGTTGAGGATGTACCACGAAACCTGTTACACTCACTAGGTCTATATGCATTACTAGACATCATGGAGCCTTCTCGATATCCACCTCTCTGAGGCCTATTCGTCATCAATGATTGCGTTTTACCCTCAGACTGCTCTATTCTAGGGGTGAGATTCAATATACTGGCAAACTTGCTCATAGATTGATTGACACTATCTTTTACTAGTTTCAGGATATCATCAAATTTTGGCTCGATACCCTCATCCTCCATACGGGAGCTTATCTTCACCCACTTCCTTTGCAGTCGAGTAGGTAGGCGTCTCGCTATTACCTCTAGGACTGAGCTCGAGTTGAGGTCACTCATGCAATTCATAGAAATCAAGGTATTCTTATAAGTCATTAGATTATCTAAAAACTCAGTAAGTGCCTTGGAGTCATCTTGAAGTTGACTGCCGTTACCTTTGACAG